GTAGCTCAACATAAACGTAATACATTTATCAAAGAATCCAAAATAGATAATTCCAATCCATTCAGTTTAAGGCCCTTTTCACATCCCAAAAGTAGAGCACTGCAGAGGTCTGTCACTGTCCTCAGGATAATATAAATCAATACTTTGCCTCAGCTATCTTTTCATATATTCAATCATCTCTTAGATAACTGGCATTGCACTGTTGTTTAGTTTAAAAGTTTTTGTTTTTGTAAGATCTGTTTCTTCTTTTCTTGACTTTTTGTGGGTTAGATCTCCATCCTGATTTCCTTTCTATAAGTTGTGTATCAACTATTTGGTTTTCATGCTGATCTATAACTTGATCTTGTTGGTTTTGCTTTTGTGGCTTAAGTCTCCATTCTGGTTTCTTTTCTTTGAATTGTATGTCAACTGATTGATTTCTATGCTGGTCTGTAACTTGATGAATCATCACATTAGAATCCAAAGCCGCCTCTCTTGTATTTATAAATAGTCCAGCTGTAACCTCTGAAGGAGAATCCAGAAGCTGCTCATCTACAAAATTCTCTGTAACTTGTTGTTTTTCCATTACTTCCATCTCTTTCTGCTTATCCTGAATTTCTATCTCTTGTTGATTTTGCTTTTCTTTATTCCACTCATGTATTATACATGAAGATGTTGGACCCATTTTAAGAACCTTATAATAAAATTCTTCTGCTTTTTCAACAGAATTTAGTTGGTATCTTTCTCCTTGATATCTCAATATGCCAACTGGGACATCCCATCTGAATGAGATGTTTTGTTTGTTTAGCTCAGTCACCAAAAATCCGAATTTCTTTCTATCTTTTAATATCTTGGGCGGCAACTCTTTATATATCCAGATCTTTCTTCCATACAATTGTAAAGTGGAATTAAAAGATTTTTGCACAATATCATTTCTTATTTCTTTATCTGTAAAATAAATCACCACATCTCTAGGCAATTGCCTTTGCTTTGCAATCCAAGAATTTACTCTATAGGCCTTGTCGATCTTACAAGATACCTCCTCTGGATGAATCTTTAAAATCCCAGCCAGAACTTCAGCAGATATTTTTCTTAAATCATCTCTATTATTTTCCTGTAACCCTCTCATTCTAACCGCAAATTCTGTGAGCTTGTATTGCATTATTGTAACTTCTCTTTCAATCCCTTGTTTTATACTTTCTGCATTGTGAGTCTCGTGATCAGCTTCCTTTTTAGACTTTACTTCATAACTATTGTCTTGAATATTTATCAAATCATTTTCCATTCTTTGTATTTTACTGTTCAAATTATAAATCTTATCATCAACTTCCTCCATTTTAGACTCTAACAACTTGATATTTGTATCCATCTTTATAACTATTTCTGAAAAAGCATTAGTCACTGTTACAATCTTTCTTTGTAAGTTATCATACTTTAATTGTATGAATTCTTTATTTTCCTGCTTAAATTTTTCAAAATTCTGGTTCACAATCTCGTCATGTCTTGCCATTTCCTTCAAAACAAATTCTTTTAAATTAAAACCATTCTTCTGAGTCTGTAAACTTGAAACTTGTTCACATAATTGTAAATGGGGGAAACCCCCCCCCCCAGTTGCTTGTTTGTCTGGCTTTGTTAATTTTAACGCCATCCTGCCACACAGACAAACTCTTTTTGAAGAAAGAGGACTTCTCTCCAACAAGATCAATATCAAATCTCCAAGAAAAAAAAAACTTAAAATAGAAATTTTTTATTTTCTCTATTCTAGCCAGCACTGTTTGCTCCGCTACTTTGTAGCTTGTTACGGAAGGACTTTCACTTTCGGCTACTTCTCAAGCCTCACGGTCGCCATTTTAAGCTTTTTTTTTTCCCTTCACTTAGAAATGCTTATAAAATCATTAAAAATACTTGCAATTTAGGGTCCCAAGTCCAGATCTCATCCTCTTTAATTAAGTAATCTGTTGTTTTCGTTAAAAGATTTGATCTCGTCGCCTGGCTCTGCAAAAGGCAGAGGTCTCCCGAAGCCCAGAGCAGCGGCGAGGGAAATAGGGAGCCTCATCCTGCTTCGTCCCCAAGAGTAAAAGAAAAACTCTGGGGACTTCGCAGAGGGCTCTACCTGCCCTCGCCTGCTCTATCTCACATTTCCTTATGGAAATGGAGTTTTGCGAGCCGCCTTTCAGATGTAAAGGCGTCTCTTTACGAGCGACGGGGCTGGCGGTCTCAAAGGACCGTCTGGTGGCGACGGAAGTCAAACCGGAAGCCCAGGAGCATAGTTTCTTGAATGGTTGATAGAGTCACCTGCATCGCTTGAATGGTTGGTAACATTGCTGATTTGTCCGCTTTTGTTAGCACCTCAGTGGGTTTTTGCAGAGCTGAAGAGGACATTGTTAATGCAGGGTTAGATGACATTTTCTTTCCTGCCTTAAATACTGCCGATGAAATGCTTGTTATTTCTTTTAAGATTCTCTTCTGATTTGTCAAAATTACCTCGATATTCTTCCAATTTATTATCCACTATTCTCTCTCTAGTAATAAGATTCACCTAATTCATCCAATCGTGGATTTACCCAATTTCCGTATCAACTCACAACATTTCATTCAGCTATTGTTAATCAAAGTTGTAAATAAATATAGGCTAGATATAATACAATAATAACTGTAGGTTAAATATAGTTATCTAATCCAGACCAGTATATATTAATAAATACTCAATCCCTTCAATAATCAATTTTCAATGTTCATCCAATCGTGCTATTGCACACTTATTAAGTTCATTAAATATAATCTATAATTTATTCTTATATAATCTAAGATAGATGTAGATATAGGTATCAATTTAATAGAGATAGAGAGTTGTTAACAGTTTAAGAAATAAAGTTATACAATAGCGGTGGATTAAGATCTATTAGGCTTTTTCAAGGTGACATATAATCCACTCAAGAAGACTGGGAGAAGTTGTCTAAAATAGTTAATATCTATATAAATAAAGAAGTGATTATAGAATAATAAATAAATTAGTATTAGTAATTAAAAGCAAATTCTATCAATAATGTTTTAAAAATTCATTACTCTTATTTAATTAGTACTACCACAATCAAAGAAGTTCTTCCACGTATAGAGATATTTCAGTTAATTGAGGGAAAATCTCAAGTAGATCCAGAGGGCAGCCAAGTCTTAATGAGCAGAAATACTGTTCGAAGAAAAGACCGCAGCTCAGAACATTTCAAAATCGTTCCTGCTGTCAAGCTTCAAATGCACGTTGTAATTTATGGCTGCACTTCCGTTTTCTATCTTCGGAGAGAACCGGGTAGCTAAGAGTTAACGACTACAAGTTATTGTTTTGATGTTTCCTCGTGGTGTTATATTCAAAGTCTAGGTCTGCACTGTTTTATCCACGTTCGCTGCAAAATTGGGAAAATATGCCAACAGCTTCTAATTTCGCCTTCCCCCGCCTCAGCAAGTTCTCCTTCCTCCTCGCAGTTTCGCCAGCAATCCACAAGCTTCCGATCTGCTCTGTCACTTGTACTCACCGCCTCTCCACCGCCCTGACTACTTTCGGCTGGCTACACTCGCAAATTCTTGAGATCGGCTCCCACGATCACCAGGGGTTATGGTTGGGTCTCCTTCTCACTTTAGCCGTCCCGAGCTCCTCGCTTCCTCATTGTTGTTGGTAGTCGCGGCCTCGGGTCCGCCATTAGACGGCGGACGCGCCCATGCTGGTTTGACAGAGGTATCTGTCCAAGCGAGAGACGTTTGCTTGTCGCTCTCAGATCCCCTCTCTAGTCCGAGACGCTCTCCGGGCGATCTCGCCCCTCAGGGTCCCCAAGGCACGGCGAAAAAGACAGTGCTGTGGAGCGAAGCTCGCTCACACAGCACCCTGTCGCCACGATTCCCAACCGGAAGTCCAGCTGCCTTTCATGCTTAAGATAGAACTAGAACTCACTATCACCTGGTGATTGGCCCAAAGTCACCCAACCAGCTTTCATGCTTAAGGTGGGACTACAACTCACCGTCTTCTAGTTTCTAAGCCAGCACCTTTGCCACTTGTCCTATGTGATTCTCTCAGTTGCCGATCATTGTGGCGAAGTTGCTTGGAATTCTGGGAGTGAAGGATGCTTTTCTGATGTTGAACCTGGTTTCATAAGTCCTGGTGAAACTTTCCACGCAACATGTTTCTCTTTGTCAAGCGGAACTCAAGCCGTTCTTTGTGCAACTCCAAATGGAGTTTTGTTTGGAAAATTTCCCTTTCAAGCTATTTTAGCTTCAGAACTGCATGTCACATGGAAGAAAGAAGAAAAAGAAAGGAAGGGAAGATGAGGAGAAAGAGAGGGAAGGGAGGAAAGGGAAGGAAAAAAGGGAATGAAAAGATAGGAAAGGACAAAACAAGGGGAAAAAGGGGAAGGGAAGGAAAAAAGGGAAGGAAAGGAAAGAGAAAGAAAGGAAAGGAGAAAAGGGAAGAGAAGGAAAGGAAAAAACAAAGAAATGGAAGGAAAGAAAAGAAAAGGGAAGGGAAGGAAAAACAAGCAAAACAATGGAGGAAGGGAAGGGACAGAGAAAGAGGGAAAGAAAGAAAGAAAAAGAAAGAAAGCAAAGGGAGAATGAGGAAGTGGAGAGAGTAAAGAAAGAAGCCAAGTAGGAAAGGAATTGAAAGAAGAACAGAAAGTCATTTAAGGACTTGGACCTGCCTGCCATCTAGGATCTTCCCCCTGCGCCAAACCACCTTTAAAGCCTCGCCTCCGGAATCTGGCCAGTCCTTAAAACAGGACCTCAGTTTGTTGTGCCTTTGTGCTTACCTGGCAACACAACAAAGTTGCTATGGGGGGAGGCGCCTCCTGTGCCCTGTAAGCCGCAAGGCTCTTTTAACCCAGCGACTTTTGAACTTTGCTTGCAAGATCCGCAAACTGTTGGCCAATTGCTTTTTGTTGCGTGTTGTGGTGTGAGATTTGTGCGACTGGTTGCATATTTCAGATTTGTCGATGGGGGGGGAACCTGCAACTGTCCCTTGGTGCGGTTTTGTCTTTCAGGCCAAGTGCTTCTTGGATTTCAAAGCTGGAGGAACGTTGTGTTACATCCTCGGTGCCGCTTACAAATACAAGAACGAGCAAGGATGGTGAGTTAGCTACCCCCGCAGCTAGTTCTCGACTTAACGACCAAACTTCCAACGCTGCTGAAAAAAAATGGACAACTGATTCTCATACTTACGACTGCACATGCCTGATCAGATTGGCAATTCACTCGTATTTATGACGGTTGCCCTTTCCCGGGGTCTCTTGATTGTGACCTCCTGACGAGCAATGTCCATGGGGGAAGCCTGATTCGCTTAACAACCTCGTGATTCACTTAATGACCGCCATGATTGCTTAACAGCTGGAGCAAAAACAAAGATTATCAAATTGGGTGAGGCTCACTAAGCCCACTGCCTTGCTTAGCGATGGAAATTCTGCTCACAGTGTTGGTCTTAAGTTGAGGACTACCTACGGGGTGAAAATAATTGCATTTATTGCCTTTCTGACTGATAACACACTAGTCCTCGACTTACAACAGTTCGTTTAGTGATCGTTCAGAGTTACAACAGCATCAAAAGATGTGACTTATGGCTGTTTTCAAAATGCGACTTACGACCGATTTCCACACTTACGACCATTGTAGCCTGCCCATGATCACAGGATCCAAATTCAACCATTTAGCAACCGACTCATGTTTATGACGGTTGCCATGTCCTGAGTGTGTGTGTGTGTGTGTCACGCGATCCCCTTTTGCGATCTTCTGACAAGTAAGCTCATGGGGAAAGCCAGATTCACTTAATAACCGGCTTCCTAATGTAACGACTGCAGCGATTCCTTTGACAAACATAGCCAGAAAAGTCGTAAAATGGGGCGGAGTTCATTTCATCATGCTTAGCAATGGGGTGGTCTGTTGGCAGTCATAAATTAAGGACGACCTGAAAATTGCATTTCTGCTTGTCCTGAATGGTGATAAATACCCCCAAAATCTCTACTTTCTCCCTTATTTTTCTGCGCAGGAGGAGATTTGACTTGCAAAACCCTTCGCGGATGGACCGAAATGTGGAAATGTTCATGAACATTGAAAAAACTTTAGTGCAGGCAAGGCTAATAATGTTATTTTGGATTGTGGAAATGGCTTTTGATGTGCTTTTGAAGGACCTGAGCAGAATTTGAGCCTCTCTCAATAAATATAATAAACATATTTATTATTCATATTTATTATACACGGCTGTATAAAATCTAAATGAACCAACCATCTGTGAAGTACTCTAAGGAAAAAAATAATATCTTCCTATATTTTTTGTCAATCTCTTAAAAATAAATATATATCTAAAATATATATATATATAATTTGATTAAGCAGCAAGAGTCCTGGGCAGTTAAAAAAATGCTGAAAGGCATGCAGTTTTCCTAGAGATAAATATAAGTATCTTATTGAAGTATTGGATTTGTATTCTTTATGATAAGAATAATGGGTTATTATTTGAATACAGTATTTATTTTTTTTACCCTTTTAATTTATTTAATTAAAAGAATATGTATGTGTTTTTGGGTATGTGTGTGGGTATGTATATACAGTATATGTGTGTATACATATGTGTGTGTGTGTGTGTGTATAATTAAGCAGCAGCACCGGTAATTATAAACAGGCTGAAAGGTATACTGTTTCCTTAGGAATAAATGTAAATATCTTGTTGAAATATTGAGTTCGTATTCTTTATGATAGGAATAATGGGTTATTATTTGAATGCAGTATTTTTTTATCCTGTTAATTTGTTTTTCCCTGGGATCAAAAAATTTCCTCGCTAGCTACTTTTTTAATTCCTCCATTACTCTTTTTATTTATTTATTTTTCAGAATAACTATCTGAGCAGACCAAGCATCTACCTCATTCCGGACATCGAGCTGAAAGTGGCTAACAAGCTCAAAGACATTGTCAAACGCCATCAGGTAATGGGTTCAAAAATACTGGTTCAGCATGAGCTTTGTCTCTTGGGAGTAGTGAACAAATTCAGAAAACGAAATAATGAGCTCTTAAAACTGCCTCTCGGTTGCTCACAAAGGCAGTCCGGGCATTGGGTCCTTGGTTGCTTTCTTGGAGACGTTTCATGACTCAGCTAGGCAACATCTTCAGTGTTAGAAGGGACTGCATAGAAAGAGACAGCAAACACACACACACACACCCCTTCTAGCATTGATGGTGTTATCTAGTTGGGTCATGAAACATCTGCGCGGAAGCCACCAAGCTCAGAGCACCAAGAATCCCATAGTCCTCCTCTTTCTCCCCCTCCCACAAATCCCCCTCCCTTCTAACAGCGATGATATTCCCTAGTTTGGGTCATGAAATGTCTGAAAGGAAACAACCAAGCTCAGAGACCCCAACGACCCCTCCTCCTCCTCCTCCTCCCTGCAACCCCCCTCCCTTCTAGCACTGATGGTATTACCTACTTGGGTCACGAAATGTCTGCAAGAAAACCTCCAAGTTCATAAGACCACCAAGGACCCCACAGTCTTTTTTCCTCCTCCTCTTCCTCCTCCTCTCAACAAATCCCCCTCCCTTCCAGCACTGACGGTGTTATCTAGTTCTCTAGGTCATTAAACGTCTGCAAGAAAACTACTCTGCTCAGAGACCACAACAAGCCCCTCCCCCCCCTTTCTTCCTCCTCTCCACACACCCTACTCCCTTCTAGCAATGATGATGTTCTCTAGTTAGGTTGTGAAGCGTTTACAAAAAAAAAACATGAAGCTTAGATGCTATTCCTCTCTTGTGTTTTTTTTTTTTTCCCTTAGGGGACCATCACAGACGACAAGTCGAAAGCCACACATCATATATACCCTGTTCCTACCTCACTGGATGAAGGTTCGACACACCTTTATAATATTCTATTAAAGTAGCATTTAAAATATAAGTGGCATTTGCCTCTGGGCCTGTTGTAACCTAGGCCGAAGTAGTTATTTACCAGACACAATCAGCCCTAAACAAACATATTTTATTAGAACAGCTGAGAATTACTTCATTCTCAGCTTAGTCCAAAGTCTAAATTTAAAGTCCAAACCAAATTCTTCATAAACAGTTCTTCAGCCTTCTCGCCAACCTTGACTTCTTTGGCACTCTGCCAAAGTCTTGGCAAAAGTTCTGAAGCAAGAGACTCCAACAGGAAACAAATGTAGCAAGACAAGAGACAACTGTAGCAACATTGTTTTCCTACAAAGAGCCCAAGAGCCTTCCCTGCTCTTTTAAGCCTTTGGGAGGGGCCAGTCATCTCCTGGCCTTACTCCCGAGTTGTCCTTTTTGCTTCAGCTGCTTTTGCCTTCTGGCAACTCTTTGCATGCGTGCACTAAGAACAGGCTCCTCCTGTTCCTCTGCCTCTCTGCTGTCTGCCTTTGGAGGCTCCAGAGTCCGTGCATCGCTCCCAGATGGCCCTGGCCCCATCTCTGCCTCCGGCGCAGAGCCCTCCTCCGGGCCTTCTCCTGACTCCAGGACTGGCCCATGTTCCTCCCCAGCCTCCTCACTGTCCAACTCTGCTGCCAGCTCTGCAGGCTGCTGGTGGACCATAACAAGGCCTTAAAAAATAACATATTTTATTGTTGTGACTTGAATGCAAAGAGATGAGGTTGTTGGCAGATCCTGCAAATGTTCTCCAGAGTTTTTACAGCTGGCCTCCACTGGAGGGCAGCATTTTCCCAGGCACTTCGGAAAATTTCTCACTCTTTTCCTACCTTCTGAATACTTTCTGGTCTGTTTTCTCATCTGAAGGACAGAATCACAGAGCTGGAAGGGACCTTGGAGGTCTTCTAGTCCAACCCCCTGCTCGAGCAGGAAACCCTATACCATTTCAGACAAATGGTTGTCAAGTTTCTTCTTAAAAGCCTCCTGTTATGAAGCACCCACAATGTCTGAAGGCAGGCAAGCTGTTCCACTGGTTAATTGTCCTCACTGTCAGGAAGTCCCACGGGTGCATTTTAAAGTGGCAACTGGACTTTCTTCTGTTTATTTGAAGACGTTTCGTTTCTCCTCCAAGATGTTGTTTTAGCTGTGACTGGATGGTGGGATATGGAAGGATATAAATCCTTGCAGCCAGCTGGCATTCTTTTAGAGTGCCGTTGAGACCACTTGGAGATTTATCTGTGTCCTCAAGAGTCACCCAAGTAGTGGAAATGGGGGTGGACCCTGTGTGTGGACACAGGGCAGAAAATATCCTGCAGCCAAGAAGGCTCCATCCCCATTTGCACTACTCGGGACCACGAGGACATTCACTATAGTGTTATCTTTGAAGATTCTCACTCATCCAAGTTTTTGGGTGTCCCAAAGGTGCTTTTATGCAGGAGTCAGATTCTGTCACGGCGTATGGAATAAATTAATAAATAAATTGGCTGATGTCATTTTATTTCTTTTTTTTTTTTATTGAAAAAGTTTTACAAATACATTTTCTCCCCAGTTTCCCCCCCCAACCCTCCCTGCCCCCCCCAACCCTCCCTAACCCCCCCTAGCCCTCCCCTCCCCCCAGGACTTCCACAAAATATAATCCAAATCAAAATCACATTTTATAAAACTTGAACCCTTCCACCCCCTGTATATTATTCAAATCTTCACAAAATTCAATTATTCTATCCCTATATAATACATTCAGTTAAAAGCTATCTGATATTTCCTAGTTTGATATTTATTCTGCACATAATCTATCCACTTTTTCCACTCCCATACATAAGTCTCTTGTGTCCGATCTTTTAGATATGCTGAAATTTTCGCCATCTCTGCAAAACTGGCCATCTTCAAAGTCCATTCTTCAATAGTGGGCATAGCTTCATTTTTCCAATATTGACCTATCAGTAATCTCGCTGCTGTTACCATATACAATATCAGCTTTACTTCACCCAATGTAAAACCCTTAACTATACCCAATAAAAACAATTGTGGAGAAAACTGAATTTTTTTCTTCAAAACATTTTGCATAACCCACCAAATTTTTATCCAAAAAGCCTTCACTTTCTTACAAGTCCACCACATATGGTAATATGTGGCATCTAAACAATCACATCTCCAACATTTTGGTTGAACATTAGGATACATACTTGATAATTTCTTTGGATCTAAATGCCACCTATAAAACTTTATAAAAATTTTCCCTCAAGTTCTGCGACTGTAAATTTAACATTCTGGACCCATATTTTTTCCCATGTTTCCAACATCACTGGTTCTGCAAAATTTTGTGCCCACTTTATCATACAATCTTTAACCAATTCAGTTTCTGAGTCCCTTTCTAGCAAAACATTATACACCCTTTTAATATGCATTGGACCTTTCTCTTTTATATGTCTAACCAATTCTTCTTCATGCATCATTATACCAGTTTTTTGGTCCTCTTTCCATCTCAATTGAAGTTGATTATACTGTAACGAAGTTAAATTAATCCCTTCTTCCAACAGCGTTTCTAATGTCTTCAGTTGCCATCTGCCTGCATCTGTAAAAAGAACTTCTTTATATAAAACCCCCCCGAGTGACATTATATTTGTATTCCACATGATACGACCAAGATCCAGCCATAACGGTATTTTATAATCCCATTTGAGTCAGTGCTTCTTCCAAACTCTCATCAAAGAGTTTCTAAGTATGTGGCTTTTGAATACTTTATCCACTTTGTTCTCATAAAATAAGTATGCATGCCAACCAAGTTCAAGATCATAACTTTCTATATTCGATATTCCAGTCTTTTTCCTTCCAAACCAATCACTTGCTTGCGTCAAGGCTGCTGCTTCATAGTATAATTGTAGGTTTGGAAGTTTAAGGCCTCCCCTTTCTGGAACATCCTGCATAATTTTCAGCTTAACTCTCGGCTTTTTCTCATTCCATACAAACTTATTCACTCCATTTTGCCATTCTCTCAGTTGTTTATCACTTTTAAGCACCGGAATCATTTGAAACAAAAAAAGAAATCTTGGCAAAACGTTCATCTTAACTGCTGCTATTCTTCCAAGTAAAGACAGCTGTAGTTTTTTCCAAGTCTCCATGTCTTTTTGTACCTCTCGCCACAACACCTCATAATTATTTTGAAACAATTTCATATTTGATTCTGCAACCTGAACTCCTAGATATTTAACCTTTGGTACTATTTCAAAACCTGCCTTACTTTCAAGTTCCTGTTTTTGATCTTGTGTCATGTTTTTGACTATCATCTTAGTTTTTTTCTGGTTCAGTCTAAATCCTGATACCATACCATATTCTTCTATAATGTCTTTCATCTGGATTATTGATTCCATTGGCTGTGTTAGAGTAACAACCAGATCATCTGCAAATGCCCTTATTCTGTAATCCTCTTGCCTTATCACTATTCCCTTCAAAGTACTCGAGTCCCGTATTGTGTTCAACAAGACTTCTAATGTTAAGATAAATAGCAATGGGGATAACGGACAACCTTGTCTTGTTCCTTTTTCAATACTAAAATTTGTTGTCAAACTTCCATTAATAATAATTTGTACCATTTGTTCTTGATAAATTGCTGAAACCGCCTGTATAAACTGATCCCCAAAGATAAACTGATCTTTCTTAAAGTCTTTAATAGAAAGTTCCAATCCACTCTATCAAAGGCCTTCTCTGCGTCCAAAAAAACCAGCACTGCAGAGATCTGTTTATTCTTCTCAAGATATTCCAGTAAATCTATAATTTGCCTTACATTATCCTTCATATATCTGCCTTCTATAAATCCCGCTTGATCATAATGAATCACCTCTTGAATAACTGGCATCAACCTGTTGGCTAATACTTTTGCAAATATTTTATAATCATTATTCAGAAGAGATATTGGTCTAAAATTCTCAGGTTTTTTAGGACCTACTTGCTCTTTCGGTATCAATGAAATATAAGCTGTTTTCCATGATGGGGGTATTTTACCCCCTTGTTGTATACTACAGAATAGATCTTTAAGATGTTCAATCATTTCTGTTTGTAAAGTTTTATAATACACCGCAGTTAAACCATCCGTCCCTGGTGCTTTAGCTGTTTTCAATTGTTTTATTGCGGCAATAATCTCCTCAGCTGTTATAGGATGATTCATTCTCTCCTTTTGTTGGCTAGAAATTTTTGTAACTCTTCTTTTTTCTAAATATTTCTCTATAAGTCCATTCTGTATATCATCTTTGGCATATAATTTGGTATAATAATCTAAAAAAACTTCTTTAATTAATTTTTGTTGAGAAATTTCCTTCCCTCCACTATCAATACTATCAATGATCCGTGTACTCTGCCTCTTCCTTGGTGTATAAGCCAACCATCTGCCTGGTTTGTTAGCGTTACAAAATGTGTTATGTTTCGCAAATTGTAAATTTGTTGCTGTTTGTTCCGCCATAAGCATTTGAAACTGATCTTTCAAAAGTTTTATAGCTCCTCGTATTCTTTCATCTGTTGGATTTTTTATAAGTAACTGTTCTTTGTTCTTTTTTTCTGCTTCCATTTCAGATCTTTTCTTTTGTTGATTTAATTTATGTTTAGAGTTCATATAAATGAGTACCCCTCTCATATATGCTTTACTCGCATCCCACACAATTTCAATAGGGGTACCCTTGTTCAAGTTCATTTCAAAAAATTCTTTCATCTGCTTTCTAAGTTCTATTATGTTCTTTTCATATCTAAACAAATTTTCATTTACTCTCCATGATCTTCTCTCACTCTTTCCCATCTCAATTTCTATCCATACCGGGCTATGGTCAGTTAAAGTCCTTGGAAAAATCTTTGTTCTTTTCGTCTTTACAAGTAAATCAGATGATAGTAAAATAAAGTCAATCCTAGAGAAGGATCTGTGTCTATCTGAAAAGAAGGTAAAGTCCAAATCTTTTGGATTATGTATTCTCCAAATATCTTTTAATTCCAAATCTTCTTTCATATCAAAAAAAGTCTGTGGTAATCTAATCCTTGACTTTGCCAAACTCTTTTTATCTATTTTAGAATCAATTACTCCATTCCAGTCTCCCATGATTAAGATAGATCTATAATCCCATTGCAATATTTTAGAATGCAAAATTTTGTAAAAGTTTTCTTGTTGTTGATTACGAGCATAAATTCCAATCACCAGAATTGGACCATTTGCTGTATAGAGTTCAATTGCTATAAACCTGCCACAATCATCTGCTTCTATAATTTTAGCTGACAGTCTTTTATTTATGTAGATCACTACGCCATTCTTTTTTTCCAAATTCGAGGCTATAAATTGTGTTCCTAATCTTGAATTTATCAGGTATTTTTGATCTTGTGTATGAATGAGTTTCTTGTAGACAAATAATATCATTATTAAATTGTCTCAAATAATTAAAAAATTTCTTCCTTTTCTGTGGTGAATTTAATCCATTCACATTCCAAGATAAAAACTTAATTGTCATCTGAATCTTCTCGAAGCGATAAGAACCTATGCTGAAGGCTTTCCAAGTTGGTAGTCTTCGGCTTTGCTCCTCCCATGGCTTCACATTCTTGTGTATTGCCCTTGGCTCCTTTCTTGTATTGCTGTGGCTTGGTCCTTTCCTGTTGTTGTTTTTCTTTAATTTGCTTAGAAACTGCTCGAGTTATACGCTGATCTTTGGCTTCACACATCCGGGCTAGGTCCAAAGCCACTTCTCTTGTAGTCTTAGGTGGTTCATTTACAATTTCCGAAGGAAGATCTATCAGGGGCACATCCAGAAATCCTCCTGTAGCTCCCTGCATTTCCATTGCCTCCAATTCCAACTGCTTAGACTGCTCTTCAATCTTTTGCTGAAATTGCTTCTCCTTATCGCTCTCCTTTGTCTCCAGCACAGAAGATGTATGTGGGGATGGTGGACTCGCTTTGAAAAAGTTAGAATAAAATTCTTCCGCCTTCTCAACAGTATTTAATCGATATCTTTCTCCTTTAAACCTCAAAATTATGCCAATTGGAGCATCCCACCTAAATGGGATTTGTTGTTTTTTTAATTCATTCACTAGACTTTTTTAATTCATTCACTTCCAAAATCCTTCCTGTCTTTTAACATCTTAGGTGGCAGCTCTTTATAAACTTCAATTTCCTTTCCATCCACTTGCACAGCAGAGACAAAAGACTTTTGCAGAATATCATTTCTTATTTTTCTATCTGTAAAATATATCACCACATCTCTAGGCAGTTGTCTTTGTCTGGCCACCCAAGAATTCACTCTGTACACTTTATCCATTTTACAAAAAATCTCTTCAGAACTAATCTTTAACATCACAGCTAATGCATCAGCACAGATCTTTCTCAGATCTTCCCCATCATTCTCTTTTAAGCCTCTCAGCCTTATAGCAAACTCCATAGACCTGAATTGCATCATTGTCATCTCATTTTCAAGTCTTTGCATTTTATTGTCCACATTAAAAATTTTATAATCAGCCGCCTTCATTTTGACATCCACTTCTGATCTAAATTCCTCCACTTTTTTATCAGTTTTGATAACTACTTCTGACAATCCAGTCACCACTGTCATTAATTTTTTGTTCACCTTGTCATATTTTTCTTGTACCACCTCTTTAATTTCTTTTATCTCCTGCTTAATTTCCTGTTGTGACTTTTTAAACTTCTCATCCAAATATTCATCTTGCTTCATCAAAGCCTGAGCAATAAAATCCTTTAAGTTTTCAAGATCAATCTCTTTTTTCTGGCTCTGCTGGCTGGGAGGCTGTTGTTGAGGCTTGTGTGTGGGGGATCCCCCCCCCTGCCGCCTTCACATCCTGTTTAGTCTGCTTAGAAGCCATTCTGCCACGTAGTCTAGCTTTTTCAAAAAAGGAAGTCTTTTTTCCCTTTCCTCCTCCACAAAGTCCTCTGAAAAATTCCCCCAGGTTTAATCAAATTAAAGATGAAGTTAGATCAGAATCAGGCTTGTTTTAAAAGAGATTCCCTTTTCCTTCACTTGTTACAGACAATGCTACTTTGTAACTTGTTGAAATAGCTACGCAAATCCACTCTCGCTTTCAGCTCTCGTTAACGCTGAAGCCGGGCGCCATTTTCAGGAGACTTTCAATCTTTTATTTCAAAGTTAGTCACAGGGCTAGTATAAATACTTGCAGTTTCGTGGTTCAAGTTCCAATTCCATCCTGTTTGTTTGGAGAATTCACTTTGTTTTCGATAGAAAGGTTGGTCCCGCCGCCTTGTTCTACGATGTGTAGAATTGTCCTCGCTGTCCGGAGCCTCGGCGAGCTGGATAGGGAGCCGCGCCTGTTTCCTCCCCAGAAGCAAAGGGGTGCTATCTGGGGGCTTCACATGGGCTCTACCTGACTCTCGCCGGCTCTATTCGCGATTCCTAAAGGATTCGGAATTTTCCAAGCCGCTTCTCTTATTCGATACTGCTCTAACAGGCAATGGGGCTGGCGGTCCGAAGAAAGACCGTCTGTCGGCGACGGGAACCAAACCGGAAGTCCGTCATTTTATTTCTCTTCCTGGCAGATGAGTGGCTGAGACCAGTGATGAGAAAAGACAAGCAAGTCCTGGTGCATTGGGGTTATTACCCAGACAGGTAATCCATGTGGCTTGGCAATCCAACATTACAATACAGGTAGTCCTCAATTTACAACAGTTCATTTAGTGACCATTCAAAGCTACAATGGCATTGAAAAAAGTGACTATCAAAATTCAGACCCTTGGCCACTGACTTGTATTTATGACGGTTGCAGTGTCCCAGGGTCATCCCCTTTTGCGACTTTCTGACCATCGAAGATTCACTGAACAGCCATGTAACTTAACAGTCGTAATGATTTTCCTAACATCCATGGCAAGAAATGTAAAAAATGGGGCAAACCTCACTTGGCAACAGAAATGTTGGACTCGGTGGTGGTTGTAAATTGAGGATTACCAGGAATTAAAAAAATAAGAATTAAATGAAAAAGACAAGAAAAACCAAATTCAAAGGGCAGATTGCCCACTAGATCTTTTTTGGCCATTTAGTTGCAAATAAATTGGATGGATGGATGGGTTTATGGATGGAAGGATGGATGGATGATTAGATACTAGATGGATGGATGGATGGATAGATATAGATTGATTGTGGATGGATGTACAGATACTACATGGATGGGTAGATAGATGATGGATGGGTAGATATAGAACGGGCATATAGATACTAGATGGAAAAATAGATGATGGATGGATATATAGATACTAGAATAATGGATGGATGGATGGATAGACAGACAGACAGACAGACAGACAGACAGACAGACAGATAGATAGATAGATAGATAGATATGGTTTCTTGTGACTCTTGCGCTCCATCCTGTCTGAGTAGCCTAACCAATCCACCCATCTCTTTCCTTTTTTTTTTTTAACCTTTTAGCTACGACACCTGGGTCCATGCGAGTGAAGTCGAAGCAGAGATCGAAGAGCCTCCGATTCCTGAAAAGCCTTGGAAGGTGCGTCTTGCTTCTAGGTGGGCGTTGGCTGTGAAATCTGTGGCTTTTCTGCGATTTCCCACCTGAGGTGTTAAGAATTCTCGGGAAAGAGAAATTTGGCACATGGTTTTACACATACAAGATGACAAAAAAATTGTCAGGCATCACAGTGAAGTTCTCCTAAATGATGAGGGGGCTGGAAGCTATGGCCATTTACGACGATCGTAGCATCTCAGGGTCACGTGATCCCCTTTTGCGACCTCCTGACCAGCCACGTTAACTGGGAAATCCAGATTCACTTAACAGCCATGTTCCCCACTTAACGACTGCAGCATTTCACTTAACGGTGGCAGGAAAAATCCTAAAATCGGGCAAAACTCCCTTTGAAAATTTCTCACATAGCAACGACAATTTTGTGCTCAACAACGGTTGTAAGTCGAGGACTGCCTGTCCTTAAAGACGATTCTGACAATTCTGATTGGTTAGGTCTACGCCCGATGGATTCTGGACATGGACATCTTCAACGAATGGATGAACGAAGAAGACTACGAGGTTGATGAGAACAAGAAGCCGGTCAGCTTTCGACAACGGATCTACCTGAGAAACGAAGAGGTGACTCTTTTGGCTTCTTGGGAGGGAGGAGGGAAGGAAGGCAGGAAAGAAGAGGAGAGAAGTTAAAAAGGGGAAAGGGAAGAGAAGAAGAAGAAGGCAAGAGAGACAAGACAGAGGGGAGAGGAGAGAGGAAAAAAGGAAGAGAAGAGAAAGAAGAGGGGGGAAGGAAGAGGTTAAAAAGGGGGAAGGGAGAAGAAGGGGAGAGGAAAGAAGAAGAAAAGAAAGAGAAGAGAAAGGAAGGAGAAGGAAGAGAGGAAGGAAGGAGGTAATGAAGGGAAGAGAAGAGAAGGAAAGAGGTAGGAAGTAAGAGGAGAGAAGTCAAAAAGGGGAAAGGGAAGAGAAGAAGGTCAAGAGAGAAAAGACAGATGGAAGAAGAGAAGCAAAGAAAAAGAGGAAAGAAGGGAAGAGAACAGAAGCTGGAAGGGACTTTTGAGGTCTTCTGGCCTGACCCCACCCCCACCTCACCACCTTCCAGAGCAGCGGAACCTGGAAGAGAGCAGCTGGTCGGTGCGCATGCCCACAGAGAGGGCTTTGTGTGCCACATCTGGCACGCGTGCCATAGGTTCACCATCATGATCCTAGACCATTCCACACAAGTTTATTTCTGAAAGAGCAATATTATGTGGAAGGAAGGAAGGAGAGAGGTAAAAAGGGGAAATGGAAGACAAGAAGGAGGGAGAAGAGGAGAGGGGGAAGAAAAGAGGGCAGAAGAGAAGAGAGCTGGAAGGTACCTTGGGGGTCTTCTGGTCTAGCCCCCCGCTCAAGCAGAAGGCCCTAGACCAAAGGTGTCAAATTCAAGGCCTGGGGGCCGGATCTGGCCTGCAGGGTGCTTAAATCTGGCCCATGGTGCCTCTGCCAGTGAAAATGGAGTTCGAGAGAGCCACTTTCCGTTTTCCCTGGCAGAGGGTTGCAGGAGGCTGTCCCAGCTGAAAATGGAGCATGAGAGCTCTTTTTCGCTGGCAGAGCCCTCGGGCCACCACAGGTGCCCCCAACACGAGTGATATCAAGCTGCCCACCCTGGCCACACACACCCCAGCCCCTCCCCGAGGTCAAACCCAACCGTGATGCGACCCTCAATGAAAATCGAGTTTGACCACCTCTGCCCTAACCATTTTAGATAAGTGGCTGAACCTTAACCCATACCCTTCCTTAATTCCACCAGATGGACCTTCTTAGGATAGGAGACCCATAACATCTCATCCCTCCTTGCTCTGGTGGGTCGGGTGGATGTCACTGAGAAAAGAGGTCCTTCAAATAGCAGGGAAGGAGCCAACACAGAGAAGGCCCTTCTGAGTCCCACCAGATGGACCTCCTTAAGAGAGGGGACCCCTAACATCCCCTGCCTCCCTCCTGATGGATGTAACTCGGGAAAGTAGGTCCTTCAGACAACACGTAGGGCTTCGGAGGTGACCACCCCAGCACCATGAATGGAACCTGGACCCTCGTGCACATCTAGCCTTGCCTCAAAGCCCCTTTTGGAGCCGAAGGTTCCAGATCCTTTTCAAAGGCAGGACTTGAGAAGCAGCCACTGGATGAGACGTGGATGATGGGTGCTGGGCAAGGGGACTCTCGTTGGACCATCTCTCTCTCTCCTTTCAACAGCCGGTCCGTAGCCCCGAACGGCGAGATAGGAAGGCAGCTGCTGGGACCCGGAAGAGGAAGGCCTCTCCTTCGCCCCCACCACCTCCCACCCCGGTGGAATCCAGGAAGAAAGTTGGCAAGAAGGGGTATGGTCCTTGGAGGGAGGGATGGATGGATGGATGGATGGATTGAATTACCAATAAGTAGCAGTGAGTTTGTGGTTAACATGACCAAGAGGAGGAAGGAGAGGACTTGCCACCTCACAAGGTGAATCCATCCACAATCATGCAGGAGAACGGTGCGCTCATTCCCTCCAGTCTCATCTGATCAGTCAAAAAGAGACGATTCCTCAAGACATCTGTCTGTCACCTGTCTAGCTGATGAGTTATCTTATCTGTAGTGGTCTGTGACTCGTTATCCGTTGATCATTTATCATCTTACCTATCCTCTTCCTATCTTACGTTAAAGTCCAAATATCTTGTAGGTGGCCGTGGTTGAGAAACACCTGGGTGGGTGGGTGGATGGAGAGATGGGTGGATGGATGGAGAGATGGATGGAGAGATGGGTGGATGGAGAGATGGAGAATTAGAATGAGGGATGGATAGATGCAGAGATAGGTAGATGGATGAAAAGACGGAGAAAGAGATGTTTCTCAACTTACTAACTGAAGAGAGTTGAAGCCCTCCCATCTTCAGGTTGATGGGGGGGGGACACCCCAACCCAGAGTCCACTCCCTGTGCAGAAAACGGTCAGTCAAAGGTGGTCTTCTCCTTTTGTCTACCCCACCCCCACCCCACTCCCCTTCCAGACAAGCCAGCCTCTACGGGAAGCGACGTGGTCAGAAGGAAGAGGAGGAGCAGGACGATCTGACCAAGGACATGGAGGACCCCATACCGGTGCCGAATGTTGAAGAGGTGGCCCTTCCCAAAAACGGTGCGTCGCAACACACAAGCTGCACAACGCAGCCCACGCGGCTGTCTCCCCTGTTTTTGTCCGCCGTGTTTTTTAATCTCCCGCTGGAATTTTCCCTGCTTTCGAAACCGTAATCCGGGGTTTCTCCAGACGAGCGGCCCTTGACTTAAAAGACCAAAATTCCCATCGCCGAGCGAGACGTTGGCAACGTAGGTCTGTTTTTGTCACATCTGACATCTCCGCGATCAAAATTCAGGGACTGGACCACCGACTCGTATTAGTGACGGTTGCAGCGTCCCCTTTGGCGTTTCGCCCACAAAGTCCACAGATTCCTCCAACCGATGTGCGGCTTGCTGAACAACCGCCGCAATTCCCTTAACAACCGTGTCGTAAAATTGGCTGTGATTCGCTTAACGACCGCCTGATAATCCTGGTACCGATTGTCATTGTAAGTCAGGGCCTGGCTAGAATTGAGCTAGTCCTCCGTGGGAGATGGAACTGAAGCCCTTCTACAAGTAGTCCTCGGTTTACAACCACAATTGTGAACAACAAAAGGAGGGTCTGCCTTAGTAAATACAGATTGTCCTTGACTTACAACTACAATTCGGTGCCAAATTTCCATTGGTAAGGAAGATATTTGTTATGAAGAGAGTTTTGCTTCGATTTACGACCTTTCTTACCGCCACCGTTAAGTGAATCCCTGCGGTCCTTAAATTAGCAACCTGGTTGCTAAACTAATCTGGCTTCCCCGTTGACTTTGCTCATCAGAATGTTGCAAAAAGGGGATTCTGTGACTCCGTCATAAATATGAGTCAGTCGTCAAGCATCTGAATGTAAGTTACGTGACTGGAGGTGCTGCAACAGTCGTAAGTGTGGAAAATGGTCATAAGTAATTTTTACACTGTTCTCTTTGAACGGTCACTAAATAAACAGTCGTAAGTGGAGGACTACCTGTATTGTATTCGTTCTTCACTGGAGTGTCCTGTTTTCTAGGCACGTTCGGAATTTGAACCCTTGTCTCTCCAAACCTTTTGTTTATTTCTTTATTTTAAATAACCCTCCAGGCTTTTTTTTCAGAGTAGTTTTCGACTTAACGACTGCAGAGCCCCAAACCTTCCTGTTGCTAAGTGAGACTTTGGCACGGCGACGTTTTATCCCCTTTGACAAACTCTCTCGCCTCCGTTGTAAAACGAATCGCTGCAGTTGTCAAGTGGGGAACGCCGTCGTTAAGCCAATCCGGCTTCCTGTTTCTCAGAAGGTCGCTAAGCGAGACATTGGTTAAGGGAATTGGGCCCCAGTTGGCGACTTTTCTCGCTGCCGCTTTTAAGTGACATATATATATGTGTGTGTATATATATATATATATGTGTGTCACTTAAAAGCGGCAGCAAGAAAAGTCGCCAACTGGGGCCTAATTCCCTTAACCAATGTCTCGCTTAGCGACCTTCTGAGAAACAGGAAGCCGGATTGGCTTAACGATATATATATCGTATATATATATATCTTTTAAACGTTCCGGAGATCGTGATGTCTATCGCCTCTTCTATAACTATACCTAAAACTCGCATCTTTATTCTGCAACCAATTCTCCAAAATCTGAGGGCCTAGTTACTGGAGGCTACACAACTATGTGTAATGTCTGTGTGCGTGTGTATAAAATAGAGTATTTTTAGCACAGAAATGCTATATTTTGTTTGAAAATAGGAAAGGCTGTAAAGCACAATTGTTGGGGGAGGTGAAATAAAAGCTTGGCTGGAGAAGCAAATTGGTTTCTCCCTCAGGGCCCCCTTTGTTCTGTTTTATGACCCAACTGGGGAACATTGTCGGTCGATAAGGGTGGATTTCAGAGAAGGGAGGAGGAAGAAGAAAAGGACTCTGGGGGTCCTTGGTGTTCTCTGAGCTTGGGGGTTTCTTGCAGACATTTCATAACCCAACCAGGTGACATCATCAGTGCCAGAAGGGAGGGGTGTTTGTGGAGAAGAGGAAGACTGGGATCTTCAGTGTTCTCTGACCTGGGTGTTTTTCTTGCAAACATTTCGTGACCCAACTAGGGAATATCATCAGTGAAAGAAGGGAGGAGGGGTGTTTGTGGAAAGGAGGAGGAGAAGAAGAAGAGGGGGATGAGAAGATGGAGGATGAGGAGGAAAGGAATGAAGAAGAAAAGGACTATGGGGTCCGAGCTTGGTTGTTTCCTTGCAGACGTTTCGTGACCCAACTAGGGAACATCATCAGTGCTAAAAAAATGGGAGGGGGGAGGAAGAGGAGGAGGAGAAAAGGAAGGGGAGAACAAGGAAGAGGAGGTGAAGAGGAAGAGAAGGAGGAGAATAAGAGGTAGGTGGAAGAAGAGTGGAAGGGGAGGAGGAAGGACTGTGACGTTTCGTGACCCAACTAGAGAACATCATCAGTGCTAGCAGGGAAGGGGTGTTGTGGAGTGGGATGTTTTTTGTTTTTTTTTACTCCTTGGTAGTTCCGTGATTGGAGTATTTGTTGACTGCTTGGTGCCTGGCTAGGGAATTCTGGGACTTGAAGTCCTGAAGTGTTCAAGTTGCCAAGTTAGGAGGGGCCCCCCTCTCTATTTGCAGAATGCAGGTAGTTCTCGATTTACGGCCGTTCGTGTAGTGACCATTCGAAATTAAAATGGCACTTTAAAAAAATGACTTAGGACCCTTTTTCACACTTACGACCATCACAGTCAACTTGGCAACCGACTCCTATTTATGATGTATAAATAAAATAAAAATAAATATTTATCATTTAAAAATGAACGATTTGATCTTATTTCTTTTTGCAGTCAATCCGAAGAAGGACAGCGAAAACACGCCGGTCAAAGGAGGCACTGTTGCGGATCTTGGTGAGAGCAACTTTATCTCAGCTTCCTATTTTCAGCTTGTCCTCGACTTACTACCGGTTAGAGACCATTCAACATTACAACAGCCCTAAAAAAAGTTACTTAGGACCGTTTTTCACCCTTAACGACCATCACTGCTTCCATCGGTCACACGATCAAAATTCAGTCGGCTTGGCCACTAAACAGTCCTGGGGTCGTGCGATCCCCTTTTTCGGCCTTCCAACAAGCAGGAAACCAGATTTATTTAACAACTGTATGACTAACTGAACAATGGCAGGGATTCACTTAACAACAGTGGCCAACAAAAAAACTGGGCAAAATTCACTTAACCACAATCTCGCTTAGCAACGAAAATGCTGGGCTCCGTTGTGGTCCTGCAGAAGGGAGGGCCACGGAGATGCCAACCCTCCAACGTGGCACAAGGTTCTGCAACATAATACAACGGCGAAGTTGTGTGAGTGACACAAACCGCTTCCCATTGTGTTCTTATCCTGCAGATGAACAAGACGAAGAGACAATGACGGCTGGAGCGAAGGTAGCCAATTTTATTCTGGGGGAAAAAAGAAAATCACATTTTTAAAAATTCGTTTATTTATTTGTTTATTTTAATTTGCAACCCGAAGGTTGGACTTCCCCACAAACAAAGGTGCTGGACCTCAGCGAGGCTCCTGGACTCCGTCTTGGATAAAAGATTGCACACAAAGTAGCTTTCATTTGAGTTGCAAATAAAGTCCAAATCATCTCTTTTAGCCAAACAAATCTTGCTAGTAACCAATCAGAGAAGACACAGAGCAAACCATCCCATAATCTCCTCTACATTAAGGCTCTCTCCTTTACACGTAATATTTATTCCTTTGACAATTTTGCCGATGTCCAGCACCTTCCTTAAGAACAGGGGGCTCAAAATCATACAGCTCAGGAGCAGGAGAAGGAGAAAAAATGAAAAGGAGAAGGAGGAGAAAGGAGGAAGAAAGGGAGGAAAAGAGGAAGGAGAAGGAGACGAAGGAAGGGAGGGAGGAGGAGAAAAGGGAAGAGGAGGAGGAAGATGGAGTAGGAGGAGAGAGGGAGGAGGACCAAGGGAGAAGTTGGAGGAGGAGGAGGAAGAAGGAGATGGGAGATGATTGCAAATTATGCCAATATCGGGGCTCCATTTTTTCTGTTGGTCACTCTAGATGTTCCTTCCTTGCCAACGTAACACTCTTTTTCCTGCTGACAGGAAGACGAAGATCCCAACAAAGGGGACCAGGGACGATCCCTCGACACTGGAGAAGACAATGTCACCGAACAGACCAACCACATCATCATCCCCAGCTATGCCTCCTGGTTCGACTACAATTGGTAAACATCACCGTAGGGGAGAAGGGAAGCAACACCCCCCCCCCCAAATTTACCCCAAACCTTAGTGGGGTTAGTGGAGTGGGGTTGGAGGGGGGCGGGGGGAGGAGGAGGAGGAAGAGTGAGGGGAGGGAGAAGGACTGTGTGAGTCCTGGGTGCTCTCTGAGCTAGGTGGCATTCTTGCAGACATTTCATAACCCAACTAGGGAACAGCATCAGTGCTAGAAGGAGGGTGGGGAGAGAAGAAGGACTGGAGGAGGGAGAGAGGAAGAGGGGCTCTGAGCTTGGTTGTTTCCTTGCAGACATTTCATGACCCAGCTGGGGACCATCATCAGTTCTAGGAGGGTATGTGGTTCGGGGAGTGGGGGGGAGACGACTTGGATCCTTGGTGTTTTCTGAGCTTGGTAGCTTTTTTGCAGACATTTCATTACCAAACTAGGTAACATCATCAGTGCTAGAAGGGAGGAGGTTTGTGGAGTGGAAGAGGGGGAGAGGGAATAGGAGGAGGAGCAGGACTGTGGGATCCTCGGTGCTCTCTGAGGTTGGTTGTTTTCTTGCAGACGTCTCATGATCCAACTAGGGGACATCATCAGTGCTAGAAGGAGTGAGGTTTGTGGACAGGAGGAAGAGGAAAAGGACTGTGGGGTTTGGGGGGCTCTGAGCTCGGTTGTTTTCTTGCAGACGTCTCATGACCCATCTATACCAGTAGTGAGTTTCAATTTAGTTTGCTACCGGTTTGTGCGTGCTCACACATGCGCGCACCACTTCTGCGCATATACAGAAGCGTCCAGGTGGGTGGGCGGAGCCTCCCGCCACCTCCGCTACCAGTATGCCTGATCCAGGGCGAACCAGTAGCAACCCACCACAGATCTGTACTGTCATCATTCACTTTTTATATACAGTCCCTTCCGGCCCTGATGATGTCACCTAGTCAGGTCACGAAACGTCTTCAAGAAAATAGATTGTATTTCTTATTTGTGGTCAAATCTATAATTGTTCTAATTAACAACATGAAGAGGCTTTTATATAGAGTGACGAAGTTCAGCAGCTAGTTGTCTTAATCGGTCAGTTGTCGGCTTCGGGCTCGTCCTGCTACCCTGATATCTGCGATCGTGGCTTACGCAGCAAGCTAGCATTCAACAAAAGTTGACCCAGGGCTTATTCGCAGACCTAGCCAGGAGTTGGCAAGCCGTCTCGGTGGGTCAGCGCCTTGCCATTCGGAAGCGAAGGGGAAACCAAACATGAGGCTGACCCGATTCTCTTTTTCATTTCTTCTAGCATCCATGTCATCGAACGCCGGGCACTTCCTGAATTCTTCAACGGGAAAAACAAATCCAAGACTCCGGAAATGTAAGTTAGAGAAACAAAGGAGGCATTGAGGGAGGGGGTAGGAGTCTCACTCTCTCCTCCTTTTCCTCCTCCTCTTCCTAGCCTCTTCCTTCTCCCCTCCACAATCCCCCCTCCCTTCTAGTACTGATGACGTTACCTACTTTGGTCATGAAATGTCTGCAAAACAATTCTGCCAAATTCAGAGAGCACCAAGCCCCCCCCTTCTTCTCTTCCTCCTTCTCCTTCCCTTCTTACTCCTCCTCTTCCTGCTCCTCCTCCTCTACCTCTCCACAAACCCCACTCCTGATGACGTTCCCTAGTGGGTTCATGAAACGCCTGCAAGAAAACCCCCAAACTCAGAGAGCCCCACAAGGACCCCACAGTGCTTCTGGCTCCTCCTCCTCTCCACAAACCCCACTCCCTTCTAGCCCTGATGAAGTTCCCTAGTTAGATCAAGTAATGTCTGCAAAAAAGCCATTGAGTTCAGAGGCCACCCAGGACCCTAGAGTCTTTCTCCTCCTCCTCCTCCTCCTCCTCCTCCTCCTCCTCCTCCTCCTCCTTCCTATCACTGATGATGTTCCCTAGTTGGGTCATGAAATGTCTCCAAGAAAACATCCAAGCTCAGAGAGCACCAAGGACCCCACTGTCCAAACCTCTAATATACAGGTAGACTCTCAACTCACACGCTTATCTTCACTTGTGGTCTGATTGTGGTCTGATTGTCATTTGTCTTTCCCAGATACTTAGCATACCGCAATTTCATGATTGACACCTACCGCTTGAACCCTCAAGAATATTTGACCAGCACGGCCTGCCGAAGAAACTTGACCGGCGACGTTTGTGCTGTCATGAGGTAGTCATTTATGGAAGGTCTTCAAGCCAGGAGAATTTCCGAATTATCACGCCAGTCCTGCCTAGGAAAGGGGGGGGGGAATGGGACCCCGGAAAAAACTGGGGTGATGCTTGGGAAGCCAGCGATGTATTCCGTGCTGAGGTCTCCTTTCGTCCTCTGGAGAACATTTCTGGGAACAGGATTAACAGGAATTAAACTGGGAATTTGGCTACTGGAGTGTATTGTAGTCTGGACATCAAAATTTAGATAGCCCTCGAGATAAAACCAGTCACTTAACAGCTGTTTGAAGATACAAACGACATCCCCCCCTCCTCCCCGGGCTGGCTCAGGGGTCCATGGACGGCCCCACCCAATTGGGGTCTGCCCAGCCACCTCCGAGCAACGTGAGCTCGCTTTCTCCTTGCATTGGCCCTCCACAAGTCTTCTCGCCCCCTTTTCACCTTTCATCTTCCCTATTGTCCTTGTAGAGTCCACGCCTTTCTGGAGCAGTGGGGGCTGATCAATTACCAAGTGGATCCGGAAAGCCGACCTATGGCCATGGGACCCCCGCCCACCCCCCACTTCAACGTGCTGGCAGACACCCCTTCGGGACTCATGCCGCTCCACCTGCGGACCGCTCAGGTAACCATCCTCCTTCTGCTGGGTCTCGAGCTTCCATGGCGGCCTTCAGGATGGGATGGGCTCCTGTCAACCTGGTTTCATATCTAGCATCCGTGGGGAAGATTTGTGCTACAAGGAGGTTCCTCAGACCCTACTGAGAGGGCCTTCCGCCTCTGGGTGATGATTGTGGGGAGGCTACGATAGGAACTGTGGAAAGAACCTCTGGAGAACATACCTTGGAGACATTGTCGGGTTCAGCCATTCACAAGCTCGGCAGCCATTTGACTGGAGAGGTCTGGTGAGCTGGGCCACCGGAGACCGTGGTTGGCTGGGGAATTTGAGGAGTTCAGGTCCCAAGTGGTCAAAGTGCAGAAAGAACTGGTTGATTGGATGGATGAATGGATGGAAAGAAGGAAAGGGAAGGGAAAGGAGGAAGGAAACAGATCAGAACTTCTCAACATGCTGGCTGGGGAATTCTGGAAGTTGAAGTCCACCCCCATCTTCAAGCTGCTATGGTTGAGAAACTGATGGATGGATGGATGGATGGATGGATGGATGGATGGATGGATGGATGGGGAGATGAATGGATGGAGAGGGAGAGAGAGAGAAATAGATCAGAGCTTCCCAAAAAGCTGGCTGGGGAATTCTGGGAGTTGAGGTCCACATAAGTCGCCACTTTTGAGAACCGTTTTGCTAATTTCTTAGGTAGCCTCCTTCCTTCTTTTCAAATCTCTTACAGCAATTTCAATTTTTGGCTCCTCTTCCTAAATTAGATATGACCCCTCATTTATAATTGGTATTTGTGATCTGGAAAAATATTATTGTATTTTTTAACCAGGGCAAGGAAGTGAGGAAGCTCTTTTGGAGCACTGACGGGTCCTAGTAGTAGTGATACACACTTGTGATGTGTGGCACATTCTACGTACTTTATTTGCATCTTTTCAGAAAATAAACTTGATTTTGCTTATTGAGAGCTGGTTTAGCTGCCTCCTTAAGGCATTCAAATTCTCTTTTTCCCCTTCTCATTATTCTGCCTTTTTTATTTTTTTTAAATCTTAGATTCCATCTTCCCAACAAATGCTGAACTTTCCGGAGAAAAACAAGGAAAAGCCCACTGATTTGCAGAATTTTGGCCTCCGCACGGACATCTACTCCAAGAAAACCTTGGCCAAGGCAAGACATGACGTTCCCCCGTTTTCTTCCTCCCTTGAGGACAGAGTTTCAGTAAATTTTTTAGACCGTTATGTCTTCGATTGCTGGGATTCCCCGACCAGCAGGTGGGACTCCCCACCTCTAGAAGTTGCTGAGGTGGAGAAACAGATTATCTCAGGGGATAATCTGCAGTCTGAACTGGCTAGTGTGTAAAACTGATATCTGTTAAATAAGGAAGTATTTACTCCCAGGCTGCTGGGAACTCAGAATCCCTCAGAGATGAGCAATCTCTAAATTGGATGGATGATTCACACACACACACACACACACACACACACACACACACACACACACAGAGGAAGAGATGGTAGGTAAGTAGGTGGGGTACAGTGGGTGGGTAGATATACATACATACATACATGATTTGGTAGGGAGAGCAAGATAGCTTAGATAGATAATAGGTAGGTAGGTAGGTGGGATAGTGTGGATGGATGGATACATACATAGATACGTACATAGATGATAGCATATATGGATGGATAGACAGATGATGGAGAGAGAGAGAGAGAGAGATACCTAGATAGATACATAGATCAGCAATCACCAACTGGTGGTCCACGGACCACCGGTAGTCCATGAGAAAATTTTGGAGGTCCGTAGAAAAATTATTTGCATTTTTTACATTGCCCTAAATCAGGGCTCCTCAAACTACGGCCCCTGGGCAGGGTACGTGCAATGAACATTTGTGTTGTAACCAGCCCGGGCGTTAGATCGGCCCCTGCAAACTCCGCCTCTCAAGGAGCCAGCCAAAGTTTCACACGCCGCTCGCTGAAGTGCCTGGACTCCCACTGACGGGATGGGGTCCTTCAGGCACTTAGCTTGGCCTCCTGTTTAGTAGCTCCAGCCCCTCCCTCTGTCACGGGAGATCAGGCGCCTCAGCGAGCAGCACACAAAACTCCCACCATCCAGGAGGAGAGGACCGCTCTGGAGCCCAAACGCTGGCCTCAGAAGCCAAGGATCGTGCAGGCATCCCAGCCATGGAAAGGCCGTCCAAATCCCCAGGTTGTCGAACTCCCCAAATCACCTGGGCCTGCCGGGCACTGTCTAACCCAAATCAAGCGGTGGGAAGGGGCCGGCCGGCCGAGGACAGCGCCCTTCTAGCACCTGCCACCCTGGTGCAGGCGGTGGCAATGACCCGATACTGGCCATCAATGATGCGGGCAAGAATTGGCCATGCCGATCCCGCTTAACTGGCCACGCAGATGGAGAAGCAGCACCGGCTGCTTCTCTCCGCTGTAGTGTTTCCCCGATGCGGCTTATCACTCCGAGCCCAAATGGGCGGGAAGCAAAGGCTGCCTTGGCACTACCAAATGTACCGTGACGAAGGCGGAATGCTGTTGCTGTGCAAAGGCCAGTGGCACTTTGCTCCCGCACACTAAGGCTCCAGTCATTGCCACTCCTGTTTTGGCCCACCTGTGCTGCGCCCCCCTCCCCCTCCCGGTTGCAACAGCACCATTATCTCGTTCCAACCAGCGAGGGCTGCGCTACTCCTTGCACGTTGCACCACTTGCAACATTGCATGTATCCCCCTCTACAGCCCCACCACGAGCTGCCCGGCTGCTGCCCGACAGGCCCGTGCACCCGGATGGAGGAGCTGCTCCAGGATGAGCAATGGGCCAGTCCTGGGACTAAAGCTCTGGAATATGGTACCGACTTTCCCACCGACGTCAGCAAGCTACTGTCAGTCTTCCCGTCTTCTTTTTCCTTCACTCAGATGGACCACAAAGCTTCTCCATGAGAGAAGGAACACACAAGAGGTTCCTGAAAGGCTGTGTGCCCAGACCAGGCGCTTTCTCTTGGGCCTCCCACCCGGAGGCATCGCAGAGGCAGAGACCGGCAGGAGGCCGAGAGAAAGCGCCTGGTCTGGGCACCCAGCGCTCCAGTGTCAAGCTAGGTTGACGCCCTCCTGCATCGATCCAGCAGACAAAACAGGAAAGGGGTGGTGGTGGAGAGAAACAGTCCAGTTGCCAAAATATGCCTGAGTGGGAGGCCAGTGAACCGGAGACCTCCTTCCCAGGAGCATGGGGCTTCTCGCGACCGGGCCCTGAGCTCCCTTGCAGCTTGTTCTGCTGCTGGAGGATGGGCTGCAGCGGTCCCACCTTGGCCACGCCAGCTCCTTGCAATCACCCATGCCAGGATTGCTGCAGGGAGTCTCCCCCTTTGGGGTCTTTTTGTGTGGGTCGGAGGGGGGCAGAAATTCTGACTTGGGGTCTGTTTTAGCTTCCTGGTGCGGGGCTTTGGGCAAAGGCTGGAGGGAAGTGCCACTGGTGGCGAAGAGCCGGAGGGCCTCGTTCCAGTGGGACTGCATCATGGCCTGGAACTGGCTGACCATCTCAGCCCGCTGAGCCTCCAGGCGCCGGTACCTGGCCTTGCACTCCTGCAGGTCTTCCCTCTGCTTGGAAAGCCTGTGCTCCTAGTCCTCAGTGAGGTGCTTCTGCTGAGCCTCCTCCTCCGCCAGATCCAATTTGAACTGAGCTCTTTTGCCAACTCTTTCTCATGGTGGCTGCTTAGCTCCAACAGCTGCTTCCTGTTGGGGCCCTAAGGAGCCCAGGTGAGGAGGCGAGGAGTGGCTGGGAGGGGAAGGGCGAGTAGAGGTGAGTGACATCAAGTTGGCCATGCCCACCCAGTCACATGACCACCTAGCCACGCCCACTCAGCCGGTCGTTAGGCAGATCATATTAGTGGTCCGCGGGATTTAAAACTATGAATTTAATGGTGTCTGAGGTCCAAAAGGTTGGTGATCCCTGACATAGTTGATAGATGATAGGGTAGATAGATGGACAGAGGATGGAGAGAGAGATTACATTATATATACAAATTTTTATATATGTATTTATTCATTTATTTATTTATTTTCTCCTTCCAGAGCAAAAGCGCCAACGCTGGCCGAGAATGGACGGAACAAGAGACTCTGCTTCTGCTCGAGGTAAAATTAAAACCTATAAACCTCAAACATTAGGATTTGGGCGAGAAGAGATGTGACTTCAGGCAGTCCTCTACTTGCAACCGTTCGTTCGGTGACCGTTCAAAGTTTAACAGTGGCATTGTTTTTCAAACTGAGGACCGTCGTAACATCCCCTCGGTCACGTGATCACAATTCAGACACTCATATTTAGGACGGCCACAGTGTCCCAGGGTCACATCGTTCCCTTTTGCGAACTTCCAACCAGCAAAGTCACTTGGGGAAGCCCGATTCACTTAACGACCAGGTGACTAACTTAAGAACTGCAGGGATTCACTAGTCTTGGTGTGGTGTGTTTGTCTGGTGTTAATTCCTGCTTATCTGGGTTTCTCTTTCTGCGAGGTCCTTTATGCTCTCTGAGATGGGTGGGTTTCTTGCAGACATCTCATGACCCAACTAGGGAACATCATCAGTGTTAGGAGGGGGGGAGAGGAAGAGGAGGAGGAAGAAGAGGAGGAGAAGGAGAAGGGGGAAGAGGAGGAGAAGGGGGAAGGAGGAGCGGGAAGAAGAACAAAAGGACTGGGGGGTCCTTGGTGCTCTCTGAGCTGGGTGGTTTTCTTGCAGACGTTTCATGACCCAACTAGGGAACATCATCAGTGTTAAATGGAATTTAGAATAGACTAGAGCTGGAAGGGACCTTGGAGGATTTCTAGTCCAGCCTCCTGCTCAAGCAGGAGACCCTAAACCATTTCGGACAGGGGGCTGTCCAGTCACTTCTTAAAAACCGCCAGTGATAAAGCTAATGTCATCAGTCATAGGGTGTGTTGGGTTTGCTCTCTTTTAATAAAGAGGGGCTTGCCCTGCCAGTCTTTATTGGGTGTTCCCCCCCCCCCAAAAAACTTGGTATTTCCTTGATTAAGGTATAGTTTTTTTCTAGATTGTTTGTCTAAACAATCCAATATTTTGTCGTTCTCCCATTAAATTGGATGGAGAGTAGTGCCGGACCTCATGATTTAGCAGGTGGTGGAGAGGGAGCCTTCAAACAAACCCAGTTTGTGGGGGGCCGAAAGGAAGGATGCGGGTTGCATTGTGGATGAGAGGCAGCTCCGACTGAGCAATTACGTTTGTTGCTATTCCGGCCGAAGGCGGATCTCAGGGAGGAAGGAGAAGAGGAGGTAGGAGGATGCTTGTAAAGAAGAAGAAAGAAAAGAGGGAGGAGAAATAGGAAGAAAGAAGGGAAAGAGGAAGAAGGGGAGGGAGGAGGGAAGGAAAGAAAAATGGGAGAGAGGAAGGGAGGAAAGAAGGAAAAATGGGAGGGAGGAGGAAGAAGGGAAGGGAGGAGAAATAGGAAAAAGGGAAGAAGGAGGAAGAAGGGAAGAAAGGAAGGAAAAGAGTGGGGAAGGAAAAGGGAGGGAAGGATGGAAGAAAGGAAGGGGAGGAGAGAAAGAAGGCAAAAGGGAAGAAGGAAGGAAGGAGAAAGGGAGAAGGAGGGAAGGAAGGAATTAAGGAAGGAAGGAAAAGGGAGTGGTGGAAGTAATGAGAAAGGGAAGGAAGGAGAAAGAGAGGGAGAAGAGAGGGCTGGAAGGAAAAAAAGGAAGCAGTGGAAAAAAGAAAGGAAAGCAACAAGGGAGAAAAAAGGGGGAAAGGAAGGAAAATGGAGGGAGTGATGGGAGAAAGGAAAGGAAGGAAGGAAGGAAGGAAAAGAGGGCTGGGAGGGAAGGAAGAGACAGGGTGAGAGGAGGGGAAGGCTCAGAATTCAAGGAAGGAAAGAAGGAAGAAGCATCCTCAAGTCAAGGCTTAACTTTGGGGAACCACATGAAGACAATCTTCCTGTTGCCAAGGCAACAGCAGAGCAGTCCTTTCCCATTGGCTCCTTCCAAAAAACGCTGCTGTTGCTGCTCCCTCCTCCTCCCCCTCCTTCTCCATCTCTCCCTCCTCCTTTTCCACCTTCTCTTCCTCTTTTTCTTCGTCTCCTCCTCCTCCTTTTCTTCCTCTTTTTTTTTTCTATTTCCTCTCCTCCTCCTCTTCCTCCTCCTCCTCCTCCTTTTCCACCTTCCTCAATCTCCCATTGCCTCCCTCTCTTTTCCTCCCTCTTCCTCCTCCTCCTCTATCTCTGGCTCCTGCTCCTTCCTTCCTCCCTCCCTCCTCCTCTTCCTCATGCATGGAGAAGGCCCCGAAGTTTTCTTCAAGGCTTGCCATTGCCTTCTTCCTAGGGCTGAGCACGAGTGGCTGGCCCAAAGTCACCCAGCTGGCTTGAATCCTAAGGCAGAACTAGAAGACACCAACTCCCCAATTTCTGATCCTGTCCAAGTCAATCTGAATGACTTGATCCACCACAAAGCACCCACTCAGGCAGTCCTCGACTTACAACGGTTCGTATAATAACCGTGGTACATTGTGGCACTGAAAAAAAGTGACTTAGGACCATTTTTCACACTTAACGACCATCGCGGCATCTCTGTGGTCAACGTGATCAACATTCAAAATGCGTGTCAACTGACTCGTATTTACGACAGTCACCGTGTCTCTGGGATCATGCGATCCCCCTTTTTTTGACCGTCTGACGAGCAGGCTCAGTGTCGAAGCCATATTCACTTAACAACTGTGTTGCTAACGTAAGAACTGCAACAATTCACTTAACAACAGTGGCAAGAAACGTCATAAAAGGGGGCAAAACTCACTTAGCAACAGAACTTTTGGGTTCAATTGAGGTAATAAGTCGAGGACTAGCCATATAGGAAGATGTGAGTGTTGATGGGATACTGGTGTGTGTGTGTACAGCTAGTCCTTGACTTACAGCAGTTAATGACCATTCAAAGTTACAATGTCCCTTTAAAAAAAGGGACTTAGACCTGTTTTTTACACTTAACGACCTTTGCGGCATCCCCGCGGTCACGCAATCAAAATTCAGGCGCTTGGCAACCAACTCACATTTACGACAGTCGCCATGTCCTGGGGTCACGTGATCCCGACCAGCAAACTCAAGGGGGAAGCCCGCTTCACTTAACGGCAATGTGACTAACTTACTTCGCTTCAAAAGGAAAGGGGCCAAGCTCGTTGGACAAATCAGTGGTAGAAATTTCGGGCTTTATTGAGGTTGTAAGACGAACTCCCATGCAGGAAAGCGCACACATCGGTGGGATTGTGGTGTGTGTAATTTGTGTGTGCGTGTGTGTGTGTGTGTGTGTGTGTGTGTGTGTGTGTGTGTGTGTCGCTCCTGAAAACCCCTCTGTTCTCTTCTCCGCCAGGCGTTGGAGATGTACAAGGACGATTGGAATAAAGTCTCCGAGCACGTTGGGAGTCGAACCCAGGACGAGTGCATCCTCCATTTTCTCAGGCTTCCCATTGAAGACCCTTACCTGGAGAATTCGGATGCCTCCCTCGGACCCTTGGCCTACCAGCCCGTCCCGTTCAGCCAATCCGGCAATCCGGTGATGAGCACCGTGGCTTTCCTGGCCTCGGTGGTGGATCCTCGGGTGGCTTCAGCTGCCGCCAAAGCTGCTTTAGGTATGATTCTTCCCCCGCTGTATGGACCCGGTTTGATCTTGGCTTAGAGGCAAACCAGGTTCCCTAGTTAGGAAAACTCGAGAGGAAAAGAATATTGGTCACTTGGGGTTGAACTGGGGGCGTCTCTGAGCTGGGTGATTTCCTTGCAGACATTTCGCGACCCAACTAGGTAACTTCATCAGAGCTAGAAAGGAATGGAGGAGAAGGAGGAGAGGAAAGAAAAAATGATGGATATATGGATAGACGAAGGAAGAGGAGGAAAAACTGGGGGTCCTTGGTGCTCTCTGAGCTGGGTGGTTTCCTTGCAGACGTTTCATGACCCAGCTAAGGAACATCATCAGGGCTAGAAAGAAATGGAGTTGAGAAGAGGAGGAGGAGGGGAAAGAAAAAAAGGAGGGAGGGAGGGAAGGAAGGATGGACGGACAGACGGACTGTGGGGTCCTTGATGCTCTCTGAGCCTTGCTCTTTTCTTGCAGACATTTCCTGACCCAACTAGGTTACATCAATGGGGCAAGAAGTGGGTTTGACAGAGTGGAGGAGGATGACTGTTTGGGTCCTTGGTGCTCTCTGTCTTTGCTGGGTTTTTTAGCAGACATTTCATGACCCGACTAGATAACATCATCAGTGCCAACAGGAAGTGGAGAAGGAGAAGGAGAGGATGGAGGTGGGGTCCTAGGTGCTTTCTGGGTTTGGTGGTTTTCTTGGAGACGTTTCATAACCCAATTTAAGTAACATCAGTGATAGAAGGGGCTGTATATAAAGAAGAGAGCAAACCTCCCTCTCTTCTCGCCCTAATGATGTTCCCTAGTTGGGTCATGAAACGTCATTAAAAAAACCACCAAACTCAAGAGAGCACCAAAAACCCCTCAGTCCTTTTCTTCTTCTTCCTCCTCCTCCTCCTCCTAACTTCTAGTCCTGATGACATTCCCTGATTTGGTCATGAAATGTCTACCAGAAAACAACCCAGCTCAGAGACCACCAAGGACCCCACATACACACTCAATCTACCCCGCTGCCTTCTACACCCAATAGCCTCTTTCCGAATACTCTCCAAGGATAGCCCCACGTACAACGGGTCACAGTAGTCCAGACGCTCCACAACAGGAAAGGCTTTTTAAAGAAGAGATCGGACAGCCCATTTTCTCCGAAATGGTTAGAGGGATCTCCAAGATTGGGACTTGAAGACCGCCGAGGTTCCTTCCAAATTCCACAATTCTGTATTCTGAGTTTCCAACTTTTTTTTTTTTTTTTTTTTTTGGGGTCCTGCAGAGGAATTTTCCCGCGTCCGAGAAGAAGTCCCTCTGGAGTTGGTGGAGGCCCACATCAGGAAGGTCCAAGAAGCTGCCCGGGCTTCGGGGAAAGTGGATCCCACTTATGGGCTTGAGAGTAGCTGCATCGCTGGAACAGCCCCCGACGAGCCGGAGAAAATGGGTACATTTCCCAAACGTGGATGGTTTGAGCCTTCGAGTTAACGGCCGTTCGTTTAGCGACGGTTTGGAGTTGCTAAACGAAAGGTGGAAAGCTCGCAACGCCGTTTCTCCCCCTTCTGCAATCCGTGGGTTGCAATCCAAGTAGTCCTCAGCTTAACAACCATTTGTTTAGCAACAGCTCGAAGTCACTAAAGGAAATGCGAAACCCTCGTGACCCAGTTTGTCCCCTACTACAATTTGGGTAGTCCTTGACGTACGACCGTTCATTTAGTGACCGTTCAAAGTCGCTAAACAAAAATCAAAAACCTGGCGATGCAATTTCTCCCCTTCTACAGTTCGTGCTTTGCAATCCGGGTAGTCCTCGATTTATGACCGTTCATTTAGTGACCATTTGAAGTTACAATGGCCTTGAAAATAGTGACTTACGACTGTTTTTCACACTTACGACCATTGCAACATCCCTGTGGTCACGTGATCAGATTTCAGATCCTTAGCACCTGACTCGTATTTATGACGGTCGCAGTATCCCTGGGTCATCCGATCCTCTTTTGCGACCTTCTGACCAGCAAAGTCAACGGGGAAGGCAGATCGACTGAACAGCTGCAGTGATTCACTTGACAGCTGTGGCAAGACAGGTCGTTAAATGGGGCAGAATGACAAGAGTTGGAAGGGGCCCCGGAGGTCATCTAGCCCACCCCCCTGCTCAAGCAGGAAGCCCTACCAACGTCAGTTCCTCCAAACGTCATGTTCTCCATCACTGCGCCTGGCTGATCCAAGTGACACCTCATAAGACAGTGGCTTTACGACGCCCCGGGAGACCTCTGAGCCTGCAAGCCCAGATGGGCGCCCGGCAGCTGTCACACAGGTGGTGCGTGCAGGGCTCTAAGCCACTAAGCCAATAACCTTGGCTGACATTTGAACAAGGTCGCGCAAACATTCTGGAACGCCTGCGGGGTAGGAATCCTTAATTATCTGAGCGAGGGAGAACCGTTTTCATCATTTATTTCTTGGGATCTGTCTTTATTATTTGTTAAGCAACTCAAGCTGGCAAACATGCCTTACACGCATTACTGCTCCTATTTTCCCCATAACAACAACCCTGTGAGGTGGTTTGGGCTGAGAGAGTGAGACTGGCCCAAAATTACCCAGCTGGCTTTCGTGCCTAAGGCAGGACTGGAACTCACCGTCTCATGGTGATTGGCCCAATGTCACTCAATTGGCTTTCCTGCCTAAAGCGGGACTAGAATTCCCGACTCCTGGTGATTGGCCCAAAGTCACCCAGCCGGCTTTCATGTCTAAGGGAAGACTAGAATTCACCAGTTGTCCCACTATCACCCAGGCTGCTCTCACGCTTCAATCTGTACTACAACTCCCACTCTCCTGGTTACTAAGCCAGCACCTAAACCACTACACACTGTCCATTGATTTATTATCCTCTCACCTTTTTTTCAACTCTGAGCTGATACCGGTTTTTTTTTTTTTAAAAAAAGGAAAATTAACTTTGACAATTCCCTATTTAACAGCTACAGTCATTAAATTAGGGCAAAACCTGACAGTGCCTCGATCCGGTCAGCAGGGGTTGCGTTTCGAGAGAGGCACCCGTCATGTTGTTGGGCTTGCACCCAATTTAGCGGGGTGGCCAACCAAGTGGCGAAACGTCGCCTCTTCCCTGGTATAGCGAAAGGCACGGACAGATTGTCCCTCAAGAGAGAGCTGTGACAAAATAACAACAACAGCAACAACCCTCCGGTTTGCGCTTTCAAGTGGCACCAGGAAACGTAGTTGTGGGCGCTGAACTCGGGCTCAGATTAAAAAGCTTTGAAGGTCATAAGTGTGAAAAACGGTGATAACTCTCTTTCGATTGCCATTGTCTATTTTGAAAAACTCCTCGTGGGTTTGGGAAGTCTTGAAAACTAACTCCCTTCTGGCCCTGCGACTTCCTTGGGGGTCTTTGCGTGAGACCACAACCAGATTTAAGACTTTTGAGATTAGGGGGTGGGGGTGGGAAGGGGGATTGATGGCCAGATGCTGGTTGTGTCTGAACGAGACTTAAAAACAAAAGAGAGGGGAGGGGGAGAAGGAAGGAACACAGGAGCCAAGAAAGAGAGATAGAGAAAGAAAAAAAAGAAAGAAGAGAGAGAAAGAAAGGAAAGAAAGCGAAAGAGAGAAATAGAGGGGAGGGAAAGAAGCAGAGAAGGAAGACAGATAAAAAGTGGGGAGGGAAAGGTAAGAAAGGAAGGAAAAAGGAAGGAAGGAAAAAGAAAGGCAGAGGATGGAGGGAAGACGGAAGGAAGGAAACGGAGGGAAAGGAGGAAAGAAAGGGAAGAGAAAAGGAAGGGAAGAGATTGAAAGAGAACGTCAGGAGGGAAAGGAAGGGAGAGAAGGAACAAAGAAGGAAGGAAAGAAAGAGAAAGGGAGGAGAGGAGGAGGAGGGATCTTTGCTGCTCTGTGAGCTAGACTGTCTTCTAGCAAACGTTTCATGACCCAACTAGGTAACCTGATCAGTGCTAGAAGAGCAAGGATTTTGCTCTCTTGATTATATACAGTCCCTTCTAGCGCTGATGATGTCACCTAGGAGGGTCATGAAATGTCTGCAAGGGAACAACTGGGTCAAGAAAGGTCAGGAAGTGGGGCAAAACTCCCTTAACAACTGTCTCAGTTAGTAACCTAATTTTTGTGGTCGTAAATTGAGGACTACTGTATGCTATTCCCAATTAAGCATCTAAGGAAGAGGAACATAGACCTTTAGTCCTCGACTCACGCTCACCATTGAACCCCAAATTTCTGCCGCTGAGTGGGATGCATCTCAAGTGAGTCTTGCCCTGTTTTACGACCTTCCTTACCTCCATCGTTAAGTGAATTGCTGCAGTTGGGACGTCAGTCACACGGTTGTTGTCAGCAGATCATGTGACCCTGGGATGCTGCAACCATCAGTCACCTGCCAATTTTGGATCCCGTGACCACGGGAATGCCACTACGGTCGTAAGTGTGACAACTGGTCCTAAGTCGCTTGTTTCACAGCCATTGTAACTGCGAACAGTCACAAAACGAACCATCATAAGTCAGGGACTACCAGGAAGACAAAGGATCCCGGCACCTTTTGTGACCAGATCCCGATTTTACATCCGTATCATCATTTCTGTTCCGACTCAACCGGCTAATCATTGTTCGCATTGATCACCGAGATAGTTTTATATACCCAATTAATTCATTTTGAGTTTTATATATCTAATTAATTTATTTCACAATCTCGTGTGGAGGCGGTTATAATTTTACGACATTTGAATAAATGTGAACAAAACGCCTTTAATTCGCTAAATCTCTTTTTTATTTTCCTCCCTGTTTTTTTAACCTGGGGATTCTGCCTTTTGGACAGACAAGTCTGGAAAATAATTATAAATATAAAGACAGATATCATTAAAATATCTGTATTTTCCCAATCGAAGTGATGACAGCAATGAAATCCCCATGGTCACAGGATTAAATTTCACATGCTCAGCTTCTGTTTCATACTTATGACCGCCATTGTACCCCAAGGTCATGGGATCCCTTTGTGTGACAAGCCAAGTCAATGGGGAAGCCAGATTCACTTAACAACTGGGTTACTAACTGAACAACTGCATTGATTTGCTAAAAACAGTGACGAGAAAGGTCGCAAAAGGGGGCAAAACTCAACATCTCACTTAACGACAGAAATTTTGGGCTCAATAGTTGTAAATTGAGGGCTACCAGCATTAAAGAAGGATTCTGTTTTCTCTTCGTCGTGGCTTTGCGTTGCCAGAGTGCCAAATCTTGTTTTCCTTCATAAAATCACACATAGTCCTCAACTTACAACAGTTCACTTAGTGACCAAAGTTACAACGGCACTAAAAAAAGGGACTTAGGACTGTTTTTCGCACTTAACGACCGTTGCAGCATCCCCATGGTCACATGATCCAAATTCACATTTATGATGGTTGCAGCGTCCTGAGGTCACGTGATCTGTCTTTGCAACCTTCCGATGAGCAACATCAACGGGAAATCCAGATTCATTTTAAGGACCATCTTGCAACTTACTTCCACACTTAACGAGCGTGGAAAGAAAAGTCATAAACTCCCTTAACCAGTGTTTCGTTCTTCGACCTAAGTTTTGGGCTCAATTCTGGTTGCAACTTGAGGACTAGCTCCACTGATGCACTCTGCATCCTTGATTCATTGGCACCCGCAGCCCAGCGTCCATCCAGGGTGATCTTCTTGAGATTTTTCTGATCTTCTTGCTGTTCAGGGTCGATCTTCTGTCTTTTAGATGGAACTCAAGAGGACAAGATGGAGACAGACACGGACGGCGCACAAACAGACAAAGTTAAGGTCTGGCACAATCAAATCCCCTTTTGTTGTTGTTCTTGTTGATTCTCCTTCCGGATTGAGTGAATTTGAATTATTAGAATTCGGTGATACTTTGAGGGTCGGGGTTGAAGTGGTCTCTGAACTGGGTGGTTTTCTTGCAGACGTTTCATGACGCAACTACAAAACATCATCAGGCTAGAAGGGGAGGGGGTTTGTAGAGAAGAGGAGGAGGAAAAGGAGGAGGAGGAGGATTGTGGGGTCCTTGATGCTCTCTGAACTGGGTGGTTTTTTGGAGATATTTCAACACCCAACTAGGGAACCACATCAGTGCTAAAAGGGAGGGGGGAATTAGTCTCTGTTTATATACAATTCCTTGCCTAGGCAGGGTTGGTTGGTGTGTGGTTTCCCCAACCCACCCTTATATTACTAGTATTACTTTCTGCTCAGTTCTTTGTCTGGTGTTAATCCCTGCTTATCTGTGTTTCTCTTTCTGTAATGGTCCTTGGTGCTCTCCGAGCTTTGTTGTTTTCTTGCAGCCGTTTTATGACGCAACTTGGGAACATCATCCGTGATATAAGGGAGAGGGGTTTGTGTAAAGGAGGAGGTAGCAGATGAGAAAGTAGAGGAGGAGGAGGAGGAGGAAGAAAAGGACTATATGGGGTCCTTGTTGCTCTCCGAACTTGGTCATTTTGTTGCAGATGTTTCATAACCCAAGTAAGGAACATCATCAGTGCTAGAAGGGAGTAGGCTTTGTATAGAGAAGGAGGAGGAGGGAAAAGAGAAAACAAGGAAGGAGGGAAGTAGAGGAGGAGGAAAAAGAAGAAGAAAAGGACTATGGGGTCCTTGGTGCTCTCTGATATTGGCTGTTTTCTTGAAACATTTCACAACCCAATTAGGTAATATCATCAGTGCTATAAGTAAAATAATAACTTTATTGTCATTGTACGTGTATACACAGTATACCCATACAACGAAATTCACTTAACACCCAAAATGTTAAGACTACTGTTTGTAGTCTTAAGACCTACACACATAACAATCCCCAAACATTCCCCACCCACCCATCACAAAGTCCCCACTTCTAAACCACCCAAACATCCACACAACAGACCAAGTAATGCTGTCCAACAGCTCACTGATGGTGGCCCTTTAGTTCATGGTTGAGTGCAATTATAGCTCTGGGATAAAAACTATTCAGAAGATGTGTGGTCCCAGTTTTAATTGCCAGAAGGCAACAGTCCAAAAAGATTGTAAGCAGGATGGGAAGAGTCAACAAGGCAGTGGGGATTAACTTCTGGAACTGATGATCTTACCTAGTTGTGTCATGAAACATCTGCAAGAAAACATACAAGTCACAGAGCACCAGGGAAACCTCTTCCCCCTAAAAATTTAATACTAATATTCTTAAGAAATCATATTGTTTTCTGCTTAAGTAATACCCCTGTTGTTGTATATTCTTCACACCCGCTGTTAAACAGAAGGAAACACAAATATTGTTTTCCGTGGAGTAGACTAAAAAGGAAGGGAACATTTTGCTTTTCAAAGTTCTGGGTGCTCCATCACAAAAGAAGAGATTGGGCAACCATTTGTCTGAAATGGTCTAGGGTCTCCTGCTTGAGCAGCAGGGGGTTGGACTAGACAACTTCCACAGTCCCTTCCAACTCTGTCCTTCTAAAGTCCCTCTGGCCAGGTCCTAAAGTAGTCCTATCAGGATATCAGAGCTTTAAGTTCTTTTTTTATTTTCCCTTCCGCTGAAACTCAGCTGCCATGTGACAACTTGTAGCCCGTGATTCTCTTAAGCCTTTTTTCTTTTCTTTCTTTCTTTCTTTCTTTTAAAATTTGAATTTAATCATCCCTTCTTTCTCTCTTCTCAACTGTCCTAGGTCGAAAGCAAAGGAGAGAATGAAATAGACACAAACAAGTTACCAGAAGGAGACGATGAGAGAATTGCCGAAAAGGAGCAAGATAGCGATGTGTCTCAAGATTCGAAGCAAGGTAGAAAGGGGTGGGGGGTGCGCTGTGTCACACACACACAGACACACAGAGGCCATGCAGGTCTTCTCTATTGTTCCAGCGACGCCCCATAAATTTGGTTGGAGCAGACATAGTCCCCCCCCCCTTCGTAACACAGAATACGGCCGTAAATTTCCTGCCTTATTTCACGAGCCTCTTGGCGCTAGGCAGTAAATCTTGATTTGGAAACCTTGCATGCTTCACTTACAGACGCTTTTCATCTCCCGTCATCCTATATGCTGGGTCATTAATACTCAGCTAATACTCAGCTAAGGGGTCGGTGGGGAGTGGGGTCCAGGCTGAAATATTAAGAGTGGGGGAGGGGAGGTATTATTTTGTTTATGGCTAAGCCGTCGGTACAGCCTGGATCTGAAAGAACGAACAGGCGAAGCCAGGAAGATTTTGGGGTAACCTGCCCTTCACTTACAACAGTTCATTTAGTGACCGAAGTTACAACATCGCTTTAAAAAAAGGTGTGACTTCTGATCATTTTTCACACTCAGTGACTACTTTAGCATCCCCGTGGTTGCATGATCAAAATTCAGGCAGTTGGCAACCGACTCACATTTACGATGGTTGCCATGTCAACCATCCGATGAGCAAAGTTGATGGGGAAGCCATACCCGCTTAACAACTGTGCTGCTAACTTAACAACTACCGTGGTTCGCTTGACGATGCTGGCAGGAAAGGTTGTAAAATAGGGGGGGGGAATCTCACTTAGCGATGTCTCGCTTAGCAACAGAAAATTTGTGACTCGATTGGGGTCGTGGAAAAGAAGTGAGATACAGGCTGTCCTTGACTTACGACCACAACTGAGCCCAAAATTTCCATTGCTGAGCAAAACAGTTGTTAAATGAATTTTGCCCCCAAATTTTACGACTTTTCCTGCTACAATTGGGAAATTGAATGGCTGCAGTTCAGTTAGTAACATGGTTGTTAAGTGAATCTGGCTCTCCCATTGACATAACCCGGAAACACTGCAACCGTCATAAGTACGAGCCAGTTGCCAAGTGCCCAAGTTTTGATCACGTGAACATGGGAACCTGCAACTGTCATCAGTATGAAAGACGGTCCTAAGTCCCTTTTTTCAATGCCATTGTAACTTCAAATGGTCACTAAATGAACTGTTGTAACTCAAGGACTACCTGTAAAGAGAGGTTCACTAGAGATCCACAGCAGTGGAGGCGGAACAGAGCTCTTGCTGGCCATACTGGGACGAGACTGGTTTTCTTCAGCCGAAACTAAAATCTCAGGCTGGGAAGGAAAGACTGCCGTGGGAATCGGTGGTGACCTTAAGCTAACCCGGGTTCCTTTGTTCAGACGATAAGGACGCCGATGACAACAAGGAGAACTTCGACGTCGGCAAAGAGAAGGAAGGCAGTGGCGGGAAGCGGCGTGCCGAGCACGAACTCTCCGAAGGGAACGTCGCCACGGCCGCAGCTGCCGCACTGGCTTCAGCCGCCACCAAAGCCAAGGTTTGTCACGGAGAAGACCTCCTCAGCTTCTGCATTTCCGCTGCTTTGTGTCGTGATGTGCCGGGATTGTACTTGTTGTGTTATTGGGTTTTTTTGGGGGGTTTTTTTGGTCCTCTTCCTGTTTCTTCACGCTTTCCAATGCCCCGTTTGTGCGCTTCGGCTTCAGCTGCACGAAGGGGAATGTGTGTGCGCTATTGTCGGCCGGCTGACAGAACCCCTCTGGAAAGTTTGGCAGCTGCTCCGTGCGGCCTTGACGCATTGATTTCTTTCGGCATTATTGAAAGGAGCTGAGCTTTTCTTTACCTCGCGGCTCTGCTGACGGTTTGTGTGTGTGTGTGTGTGTGTGTAGGGAGGCTAACGCATTCCAGCTCCAATTTACTGGGAGGGGGTGGGTTGTGGATCTGAAAAGAGCTCATTGTGTAACCCTTGCAAGAAATGGAAGGAGAAACTTCCTTTTTTTCCTGGGTTGAATGCATGCCGACAATTCTTCCTTTTCCTGCCATTTCTGAGCTAATGAGCAGAAGATCCTTTTGCCAAGCATACCCATGCTCCTTTCCCCTCAGGCTCTGCTCCTAGGAATGGCGCCCACCGTTGCCCTTGTCCCAGAGCATCATTTTACACCAAAGGTCCAGGCCCCGTTCCTCTCTTCGGCACAAAAATCAAAGCAAAGACTGAAGCGAAGGACACACTCATGTAAGGTGCTTTTATTAAAGCACCACTGAGTGTGTCCGAGCTAAATTTCCTTCGGTTATTTGCATCGTGGGCAAAACAGCTTCCAAAAACTGGCTTTCCCATACAGTAGTCCTCAACTTACAACCACAAATGAGCCCCAAATTTCTCTTCCTAAGCAAGACAGTTGTTCAGTGAATTTTGTCCCATTTTACCAACTATGTTGCCCCGGTTGTTAAGTGAATCACGGCGTGTACTAGGCTAGTCATACAGTTGTTACATGGTTCTTGAATTCTAGTAAGCACAGTGATTCACTTAGCAACCGGCGCAATAAAGTTAATAAAATGGGACAAAATTCACTTAACGACGGTTCCCCTTTGACTTTACTTGTCAGAAGGTCGCCAAAGGGAAATCACGTGACATCCGACAGACCCTGCAGGCCTCATAAATATGAGTCAGGTGCCAAGCATTTGAATTTTGATCACCTGATCACAGAGATGCTGCAATGGTTGTAAGTGTGAAAAACATCACAAGTCGCTTTTTTTCAGGGCCATTCTAACTGCAGTCACTAAGTGAATGGTCGTAAGTCGAGGACCAACCATAATGCAGATAGGAGTAAAAATGGACAAAACGTGTCCCAGCCCCCAGTTTCACTGCGTTGTGGAGACAAAACGCTGCTAAAGAGAGAGCGACAGAGGCCCTCAGGCAGCCGTTTTATGTGCCTTGCTCACAACAGGCAAACTGAGAACCCATGAAGGAAGAATCTGGATCTTTACGATCTATTTGCTTTCTCTGAAAATGCAGCTAATCCTCAATTTACGGCCATAATTCAGCCCCACATTTCTGTTGCTAAGCGAGACATTTTTTAAATGAGTTTTGTCCAAGGGTGAAATGTAAAATTTGTTACTACCGGTTCTGTCGGCGTGGCTTGTTGGAGGTGGGCGTGGCCAACTTTTTTTTTTTAACTTTTCAAAGCATTTTTTCTAATGCTTTGAAAAGCCTCTGCCGATCAGGCAACTCAGCTGGGATCGTCAGAGACTTTTCAAAGCATTTTTTTTACCACCTCTTCAGCCAAGGCTGCAGAAAAAAATGCTTTGAAAAGCCTCTGATGATCTCAGCTGAGCCGAGCGATCATCAGAGGCATTTTTTTTTTACTTTTAAAAGCATTTTTTCATCGGAAGAGAGAAAGAGTAAAAAAAAAAAGCCTCTGATGATCGTGCGGCTCAGCTGGGTATGAGGGGTAGGGGGCGCAGGGATTTTTGCTACCGGTTCTCCGAACAGCCCGCCGCCATCGCTACCGGATCAGGCGATCCAGTCCGAACCGGGAGCATTTCACCCCTGGTTTTGTCCCAGTTTACAACCTTCCTTGCTACGGTTAAGTGAATCACACCACTTGTTAAGTTAGCAACACGATCGTTAACCAAACCTGGCTCCTCCCCCATTGTCAGAAGAATCGTAAAAGGGGATCATGTGACCACGGGACACTGCAACGGTCATAAATACAAGACAGGTTGCCAAGTGTCTGAATTCTGATCACCTGACCATGGGGATGCTTTTTTCAATGCTGTTCTAACTTTGAACAGTCGCTAAATGAGCCGTTGTAAGTGGAGAGTTTCCTATGCTAATTCCTCTTGCACACTTCGCTTTTATATCTGAGATCCAAGCCGATCCTGGTTTCATCCAATAAACCCCCATAAACCTATCACTCCAGCTCTACATCCTTCCTAATCTTACCCTGGTTGGGAAAACCATCCCGCCCAGTCTTCTCCAGACACCTCACCTTCCAAAATCCCGTTTTCTGAATCATTCGAATAAATGAAATAATTTCCCCGTTGGAAATCTTTGTGGTCGCAAACATCATCTTTAAAGCTGCTAATGGAGTTTTGAGATTTAGTTATTAAGCCGCTTTGAGATGATTACTTCATCTTAGTGACAAGGAACGGCATAACGATGCCTTCATTTACCTTGGGGGGAAAAAAATCTCAGCCTTAAATGGTTGCCAGGCAGATCCTGCAGCTGTGCTGTTGATCACCTCAAAATTCAGGCACCATATGGTAACCTCGACAAGGTTATCTCCATCTCATTGAAAGCAAATTCCGCTAGAATTGCATCTCCCGACAGAGATGCTTATCCGATAATGCAAAACAAAAAAATAAATAACTGTTTTAAAAAACCGGAGATAAAATACCTATCCACAGCTACAAAAACCCCACATTGGTGGTTTGGCCTCTGGGTAAACTGGGTTCTGTTCTTCCTTAGCATCTGGCCGCCGTCGAGGAACGGAAGATCAAATCTCTGGTGGCTCTCCTGGTGGAAACACAGATGAAGAAACTGGAGATCAAACTTCGTCATTTTGAAGAGCTGGAAACCATCATGGATCGAGAGAAAGAAGCGGTAAGATTAAAACCCGGTTCCGTTCACTTGTATCTTGGAACCAGTTGTCTGCCAGCTCAAAGTTTCTCCAGATTTACTTTCTCTACTGTTGATTCATTTATATCTAGCCTTATCCTTTTTAGAAATAACTGGGTGGTAAACGTCCCCGATATACAGGGACACCTCAATTTACGACCACAATTGAGCCCCAAATTTGTGTTGCTAAATGAGACAGTGGTCTAGTGAGGTCTAGCCCATTTCAAGATGGTTCTTGCAGCAAGTTGTTAGTAATACGGTTGTATAGTGAATCTGGCTTCCCTTCAGAAGGTCGCAAAATCACTTGACCCTGAGACATAAATATAAGCGAATTGCCAGTCCTCTGAATTTTACTCATGAGATTGTGGAGATTTTGCAACGAACATTGTGCGAGAAACAACTGGTGCTGTGGCCTAGAGGTGGACCTCTCGCCTCATGATCAGGAGGCTCTGAGTTCAATCCTAGGCAGAGGCAGATATTTTCTCTCTGAGCACGATAAGAATGTATCTGCTGAATATAACTCCGCATTGGCGACAAAAAGGGCATCCAGCCAGTAAACCCTCTGCTCCATTCAGTTGTCCAGACTCCACCCCACAAGGGATTATGGGGTCGTTAAAAGAATATGTGTGAGAAATGGTCCTAGGTCACTTTTTTCAGTGTCGTTGTAACTTCAAACGGTCACTAAATGAATGTTTATAAGCCAAAGGCTGCTGAACCTTCCCCCTCCTCCTGTTTCTCCCCCTAATTTCAAATTTTCTTTATTTTATTGACTTCAACGCACACTGATGGCTGTCATCTTATTTATTTGTTCATTTGTTGGTTTATTTTACCTCACATTTATGGTTCTGAGTTTGATCCCCAAAATAATAAAATCCTACAGAAAAAAAGATTCTACTTCTAGCCCCAAATTGCCCCCAGGGCACCATTTCTAAGATGGGCGCTGACTTTGTCACGCCCACTGATTTAACACATCCGTTGTAGCGGTTCTGTCATTAAAAAGTTGCTACTGCTTCTTCGGGCTTCTCAGCAATTGGCTTTTGCACATGTCTGCCCCTTCTCTGCCACAGCAGCATTGTTGGCAGTGGTCCCCTTAGCCACCCCTCCCAAAAATAGGGTACATCGAGAGAGGCTCCCCCAGGGCTAAACCCAATCTGCCCAGGCAGGCAGGTGGTATTTTATTGCGTGACTTGCCTGTGTGCTGGGCAGAAAAACGGAGACCTATGTTCCACCCCTAAAATGGGTGGGGGTGGGAACGCTGGTCCCCTTCCAGAGAAATTGGGAAGACCCTCCTCCAAATGGAGGGCGCTATCCAGCTGGCAGAGACCAGAATCAGGTGCACACATGCAGGCCCAATTAAAGTGATTGATTGCCAAAAAGTCTTTACACAGGAATCTTTCAACTAAAGTGATTGATTGCTAAAAAGCCTACCCAGTGGGGAATCTTCTCCGCTAACAGTAGCTAACCTGCTACTGGTGTTTGCCCGAAAATAAGACCTGGTCTTATAATTATTATTTTTTTGCCAACAAAAAAAGGCACCAGGTCTTATTTTCAGGGGGGGTCTTCCGCTGACTCACCTTGTGGCAGCGGCACCACCAACAGCCCCACCCAGCACTGCCGGCCCACTTCTTCTGCCACCGCTCCTGCGCATCACCCCCCAGCCTCCGTTTCACTGTCAGAAGCCTTCAGGAAAGTCCTCTGCAGCTGAGAAACGGGCTCCGGATTGACGTGCACGGCACCCCCCAGCCTCATTTCGCCATCACAGGCCTTCCGGAAAGCCCTCTGCAGCCATCAACAGAGCTCGGAGATCTTTCCAGAAGGCCTCCGACAGCGAAATGGGCCGAAGCAACACGCACAAGTGGCGGCAAGCTGCTGCAGAAGTGGGGCCAGCAAGGCAAGGCAGATTTCAGGATGTGCAAGGCCTGATAAGTAGCACAACTCCACCACCACCCCATCCCCACCCTAGCTTAATTTTTACCTGTGCAGCTCACCCCGCCCCCTGCACCCCAGAGTACGCGGGGTCTTAATTAAGGTTTATATTGGCTGCACATGTAAAAATCAAGCTAGGACTTTCGGGGTAGGTTGTATTTTTGGGGAAATGCAGTAGTAGAAGTGAAGATATGAGTCAACAGAATTCAAGGGAGGCTGAACTTAACATAGTTTGCTTGTGACTACGTAGGAATTCTAGGCCGCTGCCTCTTTTCACACCGCCTCCAAATTCTGCCAAAAGCTGCTACAGACACCGATGTTCCTCCCATTCATGTGCTTCTTCTTTTCCCAGTTGGGGCCAGCAAAGGAATCTGTCCCAAGGCCATGTCACGAACCCTCCCCATAGCCCCTTCCTCTGGGCACCCCGGAGTCAATTTGTGCAGGCCCTCCGGGCACCCAGCGATGAATATCCCAAGTCCGTCTGGATACCCCATGGTGGGAAAATTGAGTTCTTCTAGGCAGCCCTCGGTAAATCCATGGAGTCCCACTGGGCACCCCATCATCAATCCCTTTGGGTTCCCCTTGGCCAATCCATGGAATCCCTCTGGCCACCCCACGGTCGATCCGTGGAGTCTGGCACCGCATGGGCCATCCATGAAGTGCCTCCGGTCAGCCCACTGTCAATACCCCACACTCAATTCAATTAGCCTTCTCCTCTCAGGCATCTGACCTGCCATAATAACTCAGGACTCCCCCATCCCCCCCCCCAAAGTTTACTTATTGCCCCTTTCCAGACCCCTCCTTGGAAAGTTTAATCATTGTTCTCTTCCTGATCCTTGATCTCGTTTTCCCTGAAGGCAAACCACATAAAACGGGGACGTTCCCCCTCCCCGCATCGGGGCGCGTGTACCCCAGCACGTTCTCTGCTCTTTATCCGCCGGGTTTTCCTGATTTCCTCCCCCCCCCACTTCCCCGGAATAGCTTTTGTGTGGCAGCCGTGTTCCCCCCCATCTCCCCCTCCTGCTCTCTGCTGATTGGCAGATAAGGAAAGGACGGTTGCTAGGGGCGAAGGCAGCTTCTCCATTGATTCTCTTTCTTCCCCCCCCCTCCTTCCAAGAAAATTACTCTCTTGCAGCTGTTCTCGCCCCACAGCATAGGCATGCATGGATTCCCAGCTTTCCGAAAGGGGTGGGGACCCTCAATTTTCCTTGCAAAACAAACCTTTCCCGTTGCAAAAAAGGTTGGTTTTTATTCTTCTTGGCCATTAAAATCGACCTCAAATCGGCCTTTTTTCTCTCCCCCCCAATTTTATACATAATAGATTCGAGGTAACACTTTTAGCCCAGAGAGATCTAAGTCAGCGTTGTGTAAAATCTCACAAAAGAGGTGTCAGGCTGCATTACTGCAGAGCCAACAGCCACCGTGGGTGAGTTGCTTTTAATTTCCCCGTGTTTTTTCATGGTGCCGCGCATTGTGAATACTTCGCATGGCTCGTTCACGCGTGCGCGCAAACAACACACCCAGGATAGGAGGTGTGAACAGGATTCCCTCGGCCACCATCCATCCAAATTGGAAGTTGACAGGTGTAGAAATTCCATTGGTCGTCGTTTCAGAGACGGACGATTCGGTCATATATTTTTTTATTTTTTTTATTTTTTTAACCGAGGCGTGACCAGAATAATTTAGGAACCTGTTGGAAATCTGGATTTTTTAAAAAACAATTTTCTTCCCTCCCTCTGTGCTTCCATTAAGATTAAGAGAGAAAGTTGGCAGGATCCCAAGGAATCATTGATGCCTTTGCACTTCTCTTCGGTGGGTCCCTAACTCCAGTGCCTTTGCTAGGTGCAAACATTAATTACGTGGTGTTTTTTTTTTTTTTTTTTTAAAGCGTTCATCACCATCGGCTTGAAAATCAGGAAGTGGACAAGCTGTGCACAATTGCTTTCTTGGTGTAATGTAAAAGGTGTTGGTTTTGTGGCTCAATTTGGTCTAGTGTTAGTTTAGAAACCAGGAGACGGTGAATTCTAGTCCTGCCTTAAGCATCAAAGCCGGCTGGGTGTCTTTGGGCCAACCACCAGAAGATGGTGAGTTCTAATCCTGCCTTAGGGCATGAAAGCCAGTTGGCTGACCTTGGGCCAGACCTTCTCTCTCAGCCCACCTCACAGAGTTGTTGTTGGAGAGAAAACAGGAGGAAGAAGGAGTATTATTTACGTCCATCACTTTGAATTTTTACAAAATAATGAAAAAAAGCAGATCAGCAGAGGAAGCCTGATTCACTTAATGACTTTGTTACGGATTGAACAACTGCGGTGATTCACTTAACAGCTGTGACCAGAAAGGTTGTAAAATGGGGCAAAAGCTCAGTGCACCAGTCTCCTGCTTAATGATGGAAACGTTGGGCTCAGTTCTGGTCGTAAGTCGAGGACTACCTGAAATCAAAATTCGGACGTTTGGTGACTGAATTGTGTTTATGACGGTCGTACTATCCTGGAGTCACGTGATCCCCTTTTGCGACCTTCTGACCAGCAAACTCAATGGGCAAGCCGGATTCACTTAACAACAGTGTCCCTTGCTTAGCCATGCAAGGGATTCACTTAACAACGGTGGCCCAATATGTCGTCAAATAGGGCCACTTTAACACCTTTACTTCACTTTTAGCAACTGTCTCGCTTTAACAACGGTAACCTTGGACTCGATTGCGGTCATAAGATGAGGACTAACCAGTCATCAAAATTTGGACACTTGGCAACTGAGACGTATTTATGACGGTTGCATTGCCCTGGGGTCACATGATTCCCTTTTGCAACCTTCTGTCAAGCAAGGTCAGTGGGGAAGCCAGATTCACTCAACAACCATGTTCCTCACTGAACCACCCCAGCGATTCACTTAACAACAGCCCACAGAAAAATCCATCAAATGGGGCAAAATTCACCTTTTAACAACTTGTCTCACTCAGCGATGGAAATGTTGGGTTTCGATTGTGGACGTCAGGTGACAAATACCTATATACCAACACATAATTTATGGCCGTGAATTTGAAGCAATGGCCAGGGGAGGTTTATGAACTGGGGGAAAACATGCTGTAGTTATTTTTATGATGGGCTTTGATCCACCAAATTGGTTTATGATGCCAATCGGTATATGATGCTGATCAGTATATTATACCGATCGGTATATGATTTTATTTCCCCATCTCAATTTCTTTTTTTCTTAGCTGGAGCAGCAAAGACAGCAGCTGCTCACCGAGCGTCAAAACTTCCACATGGAGCAGCTGAAATATGCCGAACTCCGAGCCCGGCAACAATTAGAACAGCAGCAGCAACAACAGAACCAGAACGCACAACAATCGCACCAGCACGCCAGTGGTCCGGGCATGAATCCTCTGGGGACAACCTTGTCATCTCACCAGCAGCCTCCCCCTTATCCCATGATGCATCACCAGATGCCCCCGCCTCACCCTCCTCAACCAGGTTAGTGACGTCGGTCAGTGTTGACTGTTGAAGCTCGGGTTTCGGAAAGGAGAGAGAGAGAGAGAGAGAGAGAGTCATTCTGAGCTGACATAAATTCTGACAAGAAGATAAAGAAGCCAAGATTATTAAGTGCTGGAGGCATAACCTGTAAATAACAGGCAGTCCTTGCATTGCGACCAACATTGGTGGCTAAGTGAGGCAGTGGTTGAATGGATTCACACCTGGTTTGGTACCCTTCATTCTCGCGGTGTTAAGCGAATTGCTATAGTTGTGAGGTGCATCATGTGAATTTAGATCATGTGACTGGGGAATGAAGCAATGGTTGTAAGTACAAGGATAGTTAGGTCCTTGATGCTCTCTGAGCTTGATAATTTTCTTCCGGACATTTCACAACCCAGCTAGGTAACATCATCAATACTAGAAGAAAGGGGGATTAGTCTCTGTTTATGTACAATTGCTTGTCTGGGCAATGTCATTGGAAGTGTGTGTGTGTGTTTTTTCCCCTTGGTAGTTTCTTGATTAGAAGAGGATTGTTTTCTCCTTGATTATTTGTCTGGGGTTAATCCTTGCTTCTCTTAAGTATTGGTAACTGGAGGGGATGTGTTAGCCTTTTTGTTTCCTTTTTGAATTGTATGTAAATGTGACTTTTCTCTATGTATCTATAATGGGAGAAGAATCAATCCTGGTAGCATCATTTCCCCTTTACATTAATACTCCTTGGGAGGGGGGGCGTCCTGGGTGCCCTCTGAGCTGGGTGGTTTCCTTGCAGACGTCTCATGACCCAACTAGGGAATGTCATCAGGGCAAGGAGGAGGAAGAGGAGGACTGGGTTTTCTTGCAGATGTTTCATGACCCAACTGGGTAACGTCATCAGTGCGTAACAACCCACTGTGTTGTGTTCGGAGCACAACAGGAACGGTGGACTGCAATTGATGTTTGGGAAGCCAAACCTGCCGACCTTCCTCCTCTTCCTCTTCCTCCACGTTTTGTTAGAGCCAGGGCTTTCAGTTCCTGGTGGGGCCTCCCTAAAAGTTTTGCTCCAAAAGCTTCTTGAAACCTTCTTTTTAACACGCCCGGATGTGCAAAAATGGCCTTTTCAAACTCAGAAAGCAAGAACGGTAAAAATCCCTCTGCGGTGAAAACAGGTTTCAACCCAGGGCAGGATTAGCGCCGGGGGATTTTCCAGTTCGGAGAGGACATTCAGGAGTGAAGGTCTCCAACCTTTGGAATCTGGAAAGAAGGCACTGCGGCTATTTGGATATTGGAAGATGAGGCTTCTCTACCTATTGGATTGTGTTCAGAAATAGAAGGACGGAGGGGAGGGAGGGAGGGAGGGAGGGAGGAAGGAAGGAAGGAAGGAAGGAAGGAAGGAAGGAGGGAGATATGTAGGGAAAGATGAATGGAAGGAAAAATGAATGGCAGCAACTGTATGAAGGATGGAAGGAAGCAAGAAAGGAAGGAGATATAGGGAGGGAGGGAGGCTGGATCGGTGGGTGGAGTGGGCTAGAGGGAAGAAGGAGATATGGGAGAGGATGAATGGAAGGAAAAAAGAAAGAAGGTTGGAGATGTATGAGGGATGGAAGTATGGTGGATATATGGAAGGAGATAGAGGGGAATAGAGGAAAGGAAGGAAGGAAGTAGGTATGACGGATGGATGGATCGGTGGGTGGGTGGGTGGATGGATGGAAGAAAGGAGGTATATGAAGGAAGGAAGGAGGTAAAATGGATGGAAGGAGATAGAGAAAGAGGATGGAAGGAAGGAGATATATAAGGGGAGGGAGGAAGGAAGGAAGGAGGAAGGAAGGCGCCACTAACCGCCTCCTGTCTAATGAACCATGCCTTTCTCTCAACCCCCCCCCCCCCCCAACAGCTGCCGTTTGTGCTCGGCTGTGCATTTGTGCGTCTGCCTGCCTGCGTGCGTGCGTGTTTTTCTTTCAGCCTCCCTTCCTGTATGTAGGTCATGCTTCCCTGTTTATTCTGCTCCAGCCATTCCGCCTTCCCCCCCCCCCTCCCCCCATCCTCTCCTCCCTCTCCCCCCCCACACGTCCTCCCTCTCTCTCTCCCTCTCTCTCTTTTTCTTCCTTCCCCTCCTCCCTCCCCCCCCCCCCCCCCCCCGCATCTCGCTTGCCTTTAACCTGTCGTTGCATCTCAGCTACTGCGGGGAAATCCTGGTTAGCGGGAAGCCATTCCCCCACCCCTTAGTAATGGAGAGTTTTTGCACGTAGATGTTTGCAACGAAACAAAAATCTGGGGTTTTTTTCTCTGCTTTTATTTCCCCCAGAGATATACACACACACACACACACACACACACACACACACAAAAGACAGAAAAAGGCTTTTAAAAAGCACTTTAACGTTGTGTGCTGTTTCTTGCAAAAGTAGAGCAACCGGGGGAAAAAAATAAGATTTTTTTTTCTCCTCACCGATGGCTTAAAAGGCAGCTTAAACATAGGCAGTCCTCGGCTTAACGTCCACAGTGGAGCAGCCACATTTCTGCTGCTAAGGAAGACATTTCTTCAAGGAGTTTCTTGCCCCCTTCATTAACTGAACCCCTGCAGCTGTTAAGTCGGTAACATGGTTGTGAAGGCAATCTGGCTCCCCTGTTCCGTTTGTCAGAAGGTTGCAAAAAGGGGATCACACAACACAACACACACACCCCGGGACACTGCAACCGTCATAAATGCGAGTCAGTTGCCAAGCTTCTGAATGTTCTTCATGTGACCAACAGTTCTAAGGTTGAAAATTGGTCCCAAGTGCTATTTTAACTTCGAACGGTCACTAAATGGACCATTGTAAGTCGACTATCTGGGGGGGCAGGGTTTTTCTCAGCCTCTGCAACTTGGAGATGGGTGGACTTCAATTCCCAGAATCTCCCATCCAGCATGCTTTAAGAGGGGAGGACTCCAACTCCCAGAATTCTCTAGCTGTCATGTTGAGAAACACTGATCTTCCCCTCTCTCCCTCCCTTTCCTTTTTCCACTCTCCCCTCCCCCTCCCTGTCCCTCCTTTCTCTTCTCTCTCCCTCTCTTCTCTTCCCTATTTCTTTGTCTCTCTCCTTTCTCCTCTTTCTCTCCCCCTCCGTCTCTCCTCTCCCTCCATCTCCTCTCCTCTTTCTCTTTCTCTCTGTTCCTCCCTCTCTCCACTCCAGTCCATTCATCCATGGATGACCAGACAGGTAGATGGACAGAGAGATGTACGGAGACACCAAAGGATTGGGAATGGAGAGATGGATGGAAAGGGAGGGAGGGGGAGAGAGAGAGATGGAAGGGTGGGGAATGGATGGCTGGAGAGATGGATGAAAATGGATGAAAGGGTGGGGGAATATGGAAAGATGGATGGATAGACGGATGAATGGCACTTTGCCTTGAGCACTGGGGTATACAAATGTTCTACAGAACATTGCGATGATAGACTAAGAATGGGGCAGAGATGTTTAAAATGAAAGAAAGCTTTAGAACTTACTAAGTGCTTACTAAGTGGTGCAACCACTGCTGAACTTGTACATATCAGCTCTGAGATTAATTTGCTGGGTTTTGTGGTCTCTTCCACCCCTGAAGGACAAGGATCCCAGGATCTGGGGTACCTTGTAGACCCCATCCCCGTCAGCCTGGGACCGAAGAATGTCCATCACCTTGGGATTTTTGCTGATGCATCTCCCAGACACCAGCCAACGTTTATGACTTTATGTCCGTTTTTTTTTTAATGAGGAAAATAAGTAGTGCTAATAGGATACTAATGGAATACTAATAAAACTGTCCCACTAACAGGTTTTTAGTGAGTGTTTGAACCAGCACTCAGTAACTCAGTTTGTTTTGTTCCGTGTACCTTATCTACTTAACTTGGATTATCTCAGGAGGACTTAATGGATTTGTGCTACGCTTCCTTGGCTGGAGGAGTCACGTGATATGGGCACCACCCAAAAGAGCTTCTTCTTGTAAGGGTTTGACCAAGCCAGACCTGAACACGAGCTGCAGGGCTTCTTTTCTTTTACTAGACATAGAAGCCATGGGCCATACATCTGACTTGAGATGTTCCTCAAGATGATGGATCATAACTTCCATGATTCCTGGATGGTTGGAAGCTGAAGGACCTGTTCCTTCGGTCCTGACTTGCTCACAGAATCATGGTGTTGGAAGGGACCGTGGAGATCTTCTCATGATTCCTAGAGAATATGGTCAGAAACTTAGAGGACCTGGTCCTGTCTTGCTTACAGAATCATGGCATAGAGAAGAACCGTGGAGATCTTCTCAAGATTTCAGGAGAACATGGTCAGAAGCTTGGAGGACTTGACCCTGCGGTCCTGACTGGCTCACAGAATATACTTCTGTGTAAGAGTTGGAAGGGACCGTAGAGATGTTCTCCTGGAGAGCATGGTCAGAAGTTCGAGGGACCTGGCCCTTCCGTCCCGACCTGTTCACAGGATCATAGAGTTGGCTGGAATAGACCTGAACCATCATGCTTGGGTGGCCCTTAAGTGTGCGATATTTTGTGTTATTTGGGAGGTTCCATTTTGTGTCCCTGTCTCATCTGGTGGGGGCCAAGAGGGTGATGGGATGGAGAAAGGAGGAGGAGGAGAAAATGGATGAAAAGGATCAGAAGGTGGTTGGATGGATGGATGGGGAGGACGAGGGAGAGGAAATGGATGAAGACTAGAAAATAGATGGATGGATGGAGGAGGAGGAGGAAGAAATGAATGAAGAAGACGAGAAGATGGATAGTGGGTGGATGGAGGGATGAGTGGAGACATAAACAGAGAGATGTTCCAGAGGTTCAAGGATGGCCTCCAAGGGCCACCACCCTCCATCTCCACCTTCACTGTTATCTTCCTCCCCTACAGGTCCAATCCTCGGACAGGGCTCCATGATGCCTGGACAGCCCCTGCCAGGCCGTATCATGCCAACTGGAACCACCAACGCCCCGTCGGCCACCAGCACCAACATCCCTCCATCTGGGACAGGAAACATCATTGGGCCCCGGGGACAACTGGCCTCTCCAAACGGCTTGTGTAAGTCTTCCGGTTGGCCCCCGTCTCTCTTTTGGCAGGTTTCCTTCCTCCCAGACTTTCAGAGGCCTCCTTTCATTTTATTGATTAAATTTACAGCTGGTCCTCGACTTACGACCACAACTGAGCTCGACATTTTTGTTGCTAAGGAAGACCTTTGTTCAGTGCATTTCGCCCCGTGTGACAACTCTTCTTGCTGCGTTTGTGAAGCGAATCATTATGGTTTGGCTTCCCCATTGACTTTGCCAGTCAGAGGGTCGCAAAAAGGGGGATCATGTGACCCTGTCCCAGGGTCATGAGTCATTTGTCTCGCTTAGCAACAGAAACGTTGGGCTTGGTTATGGGTCGTAAATCAAAGATTACCCGTAACATTCCGGACAAATGGTTGTCTAATTTTTTCAGCCCCGTTGCTCTCCATATCCTTCCGATAATAGCCCTTGGCTTTGAATCTGAAGCCAGCCTCTTAAAAATCTTCCATCCAGTGGCAGGAAGTTCCCCTGGCTTCCTCACATGCCATTCCCCAACTGCCAACTCCATTTTGATGGAATTCAGCAAATAATTTTTCTAAATAAATAATAAGTTCCACTTCCTTGCGCATTACCAACCGTCCCATGGCCATTGTCCACCCTTCCCCAAATGAACCTGATCCATCCATCTCTGGTTGGAGGCCTTCAACGATGGGTCCTCCTGAAACTGGGTCCCCATTTTTAGGGCCAACCTTCATGTTGACAATGTTCAGAGGTGGTTTCCAACCCATCTCCTACCGAATGTAAGTGCAGAATTTAAGCCGTGCCAGATGTCACATCTTCTCTCAAGCTTCTCAAGAACCCAACTTGAAGATCAGAGCTCTCTTTCCAGATGACCACCTTAATTCTATCTTTGGTGTCTCTTGTCAGATCCTCAGCCGCCGCCTCCTCCTCCTCCAGCCGACGGGGCAACACCGCCTCCCGCAGGACCCATCCCCGCTTCCACAGCTCCCTGAATACGTCCTCAACCAGGACCTTCTCAAACTCTGGAAGATGCAGCCAACACCATCGTTCCTCCATGTTCTGCTCCTTTTCCTCCCAGCTTGTCTTCCCACCCCAATGCGTCATTCGACTCACAACGCCCATAGTTTCAGGATAGGGGTGGCAGTAACCCTTTGGGTGGTGCTTCTGACCCAGAGCTGGTTCATCTTGGTTCTTCAGTCTCCTGGCCATCAAGGGCATCATCAAAAGAATTGGCAGGGATCTGCTGAGATTGAGGGGGGCTGAGCCAGTGGGTCAGGCCAAGAGCCAAGATGGACCAGCTCAGTTCTGTGAACCAGAGGGGAGGAAGGAAGGGTTCCCCATAGCTTAGAGTTCAAGGTGACAATTCTTCTGGGAGATGTCTCCATCTCTTCCTCCTGGACGAAGTTCTTCAGAACATCGTTCTTCCTCCTGGACGAAGTTCTTCAGAACATCGTTCTTCCTCCTGGACGAAGTTCTCCAGAACATCGCTGTTCCTCCTTCACACCTTCTTGAACCTAGGGGGGGGACACACTCCATTCTCCACTCCCCACAATGTCAGTGTAGTAGCCCAAGGAGACCTCCCTTCCCCTTCCAGCCCCTTCCCCACCTTTCTGTGGCTCCTCCCCCTGCAGCCCACCCACCCAACTGCTACCATCGTCCTCCACCGTCATCAGTTCTCAAAACTACCTCTTAGAAAACAGCTGCACTGGTGGGCAAGCCAGCAAGCTGGGACCCTCTTTGGGGTCCTGAAATCCCCCTCCCATCTTTCATAGAAACACCCCCAACCCGTACAGTACCCCAAAGCCCCTGCTTACCTTTGCCTGCCACTCTTCGACCCACCCTTTAGAAATAGGGCCACTGGCTTTGGATCAGGCCTGGACACTCACAGCCGCACCTGGTTTTCTTCCAGCCTTACAGGTGCCTCGCCAGAGAAAGCGGGGGGCTGTCCGGGATGCCGAAGCCGGCCATGGCCCCATAAACACACACCACCCCTTTCGACACCCCAAATTTCAAGAAGTTTTTTTGAACCAAGCTTGTCCCGCAAAACGGTGCATCGTTTCTAACTACATTTCGGGGCCTGGGGGAGGCGTACAGGCCCCCCAAATCTGCTTCACCACAATCCCATCCCCACCCCAGATGTGAAGAATACAACAGTTGTGTAGGGTAACAATTGCGGGTCTCCCACCTCTTATTTGGGGAAGATCTTGTCCCCTTCTCAATACGCACCCAGAAAAGAGGTCCCTTTCTATTCCCATCCCCCGCGCAGCCCTCCCACCACCACCCCTTCCCTCGGGAGCACCATGGGATTTGTGATTCTCAACATAGGTCCTTTTTGATGGAGTCCTTTTTTTAGCAAGATCTCCTTTGGATTGTAAAAGATTTGCAAAATGGAGAATTTTTCTCTCTTTCTCTCTTTCTTTTTTTTTAAACTCGATTAGTGACCGGATCCTGTCGCTTACGTATGTGTGACAAATTATTAACACGACGGTGTTTCGGTACGCATGAGAAAGCGGAGATGTTTGGGGGGTGGGGGTTTTTTTGGCTCCAATTTGGGGATGGGGACATCAGTTCTTGCAGCATAAATTTCTCGATTTTTGTGACACTGAAAATAAAAACATGGGGTTTTTTTTAAACAACTCGGCGTGTCATTGGCGTTTTTGTTGATTAGGCAAGGTATTCCTCAACTTAGCGACACAACGGATGGCTAAGCGAGATATTTGTTAAGTGAATTTTGCCCCATTTTATGACTTTTCTCACCACAGTTGTTAAGTGAATCACTGCAGTTATGTTGCAAAACCTGGTCATTAAGTGAATCTGTCTTCCTGCTTGTCACAAAAAGGGAATCAGGTGACCCTGGGAGACTACAATTGTGATAAACAAGAGCTGTTGCTAAACCTCTAAATGTCAATCAGGTGACCACAGGGATTCTGGGACAGTCGTAAGTGTGAAAAAATGTCATTGTAACATCGAACAAAACGAAGTGCTGTAAGTTGAGGACTACCTCTAATGATCTTATTGGCCTCTTTGCTCAATGTCCCTTGATGGTCTGATAACCACATCCGAAGATCTGCCCAAAATCAGAGAAACACACAAAAACACACAATCCTTGCCCAACCTGTTGCTTGCCAAGCAGTGTCCCTGTGATGGACAAAGAAACGAGGAATTCCCTTGTCAGAAAGGAAACTGAGTTTATTCTTACTTATTAATTGAATGGATTTATAGAGCTGTCCAACTCACAAACAGAGATTGTGTACGACATTAAAATCCACCTTTTAAGGTACCATTTCCTGTTTTGCCATTTAAAAAACGCCCACAAAATTCCAGTTTTAACACATGCGCACACACAATTTTCTATTTTTGCATTAAAACATACAGCAAAAAATCCTGAGTTTAACTCACGCAAATTCCTCTCTTTACACATTAAAAACCCCACCAAAAATAATAACACAAAACTTTTACATTTAAAAAATTCCATTTAAAACAGTCCTTTTGCATGAAAAACCCAAACAATTTTCTTTTTTCTCATTTAAAAAAAAATGAGTTTAATTTATTTAATTTATTTTTATTTATTTAATTGAACTTATATGCCGCCCTATCTCCACAGGACTCAGGGCGGCTCACAACAATAAACAAAAGCAAACAGACCGCTAAAAACAAAGGCCATAATAAATTGGCAAAAAATCCAATAAAACCCCATTAAATTCTATGAAAAACCCCATCAGTCTAGGGCGGCTAGGTGAAATAGCCACATTTTTAGCCCACGGCGGAAGGAGCGAAGGTCGGGGGCCAGCCGGAGCTCCAGAGGGAGTTGATTCCAAAGGGTGGGTGCGCCTACAGAGAAAGCTCTCTTCCTGGGGGTCACCAGCCGACATTGGCCGACGGCACCCTGAGAGAGCGCACCGGGCGATGGGGAGCTATTGCTGGCCATAGATGGTCCGCCAAATATCCTGGGCCCAAGCCATGTAGGGCTTTATAGGTGATCACCAGCACCTTGAATCTCACCCGGAGGGCAACCCGCAACCAATGCAGGTCGCACAGGAGAGGTGTAACATGGGACTGTCGGGACACTCCCATCACAACCCGCGCGGCCGCATTTTGCACCAGCTGAAGCCTCCGAGTGGTCCTCACGGGCAGCCCCATGTAGAGAGCGTTGCAGTGGTCAATACGGGAGGTGACGAGCGCATGAGTGACCGTGGGTAGGGCATCTCGGTCCAAATAAGGGTGCAACTGGCGTACCAGGCGAACCAGAGCAAATGCCCCCCTGATCACAGTCATAACATGATCTTCCAAATTTAACTGTGAATCCAGGAGGACGCCCAGGTTACGCGCCTTATCTACAGGGTGTAACACTTCACCCCCTATAGCCAGAGATGGAACATCTTGTTCGAGCCGAGATGCCGGTACCCACAGCCACTCGGTCTTGGTAGTGTTGAGCCGCAGCCTGTTTCTCCCTATCCAGGTCCGTACCACTTCCAGGCACCGGGACATCCTGTCGAGGGCATCACTGGGCTGGTTCGGGTGGATATAAAAAGTTGGGTATCATCAGCATACTGATGATACCTCACCCGAAACCACGGATGACCTCCCCCAGCAGCTTCATATAGATGTTGAACAGAAGAGGAGAGAGGACCAACCCCTGGGGCACCCCACAAGTGAGGGGCCTTGGGGCCGATCTCTGTCCCCCCGTCCAACACCGCCTGTGAGCGCCCCGAGAGGTAGGAGGAGAACCACCATAGAACAGTGCTCCCCACCCCCAACCCCTCGAGATGTCGCAGCAAGATACCACGGTCGATGGTATCGAAGGCCACTGAGAGATCTAATAGGACCAAGACAGAGGAATATCCCTTCTCCCGGGCCCTCCATAGATCATCCACCAGCGCAACCAATGCCGTCTCCGTGCTGTATCCGGGCCTGAAACCCGACTGGTATGGATCAAGGTATTCTATTTCCTCCAGAGCCAACAGGAACTGCCATGCCACCACAATCTCAACAACCTTTGCAATAAAGCGAAGGTTGGAGACAGGACGAAAGTTGTTCAAAATGGCTGAATCCAAGGCAGGTTTCTTGAGGAGGGGCCTCACCACTGCCCCCTTCAAGGAGGCGGGGAAGCTACCCTCACCCAAGGATGCAGTAATCACTGCCAAGATCCAGTCACGTGTAACCTCCCAGGCTGCATAAACAAGCCAGGAGGGACACGGGTCTAGCAAACATGCGGTAGCAATCAGCTTCCCCATGATCCTGTCCACTTCCTCAGGGGTCACAGGATCGAACTCCTCCCAAATGACAAGACCCGTCGTCTCCCCCCCCCCGTCCGACTCTGCCCAGTCAGAGTCCAAACCGTCCCTAATCTGAGCGAACTTGTACAGCAGATGCTGAGTATACTCCTCGGCCCGCCCCGGAAAGGGTCATCCCCCGTTCCCCGATTCAGAAGGGAGCGTGACACCCTAAACAGGGCGCCCGGGCGATTATCTGTGGATGCGACGAGGGCAGAGAAGTAAGAGCACTTTGCCGCCTCCATATCCACTAGATAAGACCTTGTAAAGGATCTTAACTGAACGCGATCAGATTTGAACGACTGGACCTCCAACAGCTCTCTAGGCCTCTCAACTCCCGGAGCTCCTCAGTGAACCAAGGGGCCAACCGGGATCTGTGCCGGATCAGAGGCCGCAAAGGCACGACACGGTTGAGGGCCCCGTTCCCAGGCATCCACCAGGGCCTCAACCGCGGCGTGAGAAAGAGAGATAGGTATCGGCCCAAGCTCCATCTGGAACCACTCAGGGTCCACAGGTGCCTGGGGCGGAACCAGGTGGTCGGTCCCGCATCCCAGCGGCGAGGGGGTGGCATAGTGGAAGCCCAGCCGTAGGAGATAGTGATCGGTCCATGACAGGGGGTAAATGACTGGCATTCCCCCACCGAGCTCCGCACGCCACTGTTCTGAGATAAAAACAAGATCGGGCGTGTGTCCCCCCACATGGATCGGGCCCTGAATTATCTGAGTCAGGTCCATGGCTGCCATGGAAGCCATGACTTCCCGGGCCGCTCCTGACGCCCCACCCAGAGAAGGTAGATTGAAGTCCCCCAGCAGTAAGTCTGGGAAACTCCACCACCAGCCCCGATAGGACGTCGAGCAGCCTGAGCAGGGCCGCTGATACGCAGTTGGGCGATAGGTACGTAATCAACAGGCCCAACTGCCCTTGCGGGCCCCATCTCATGAGCAGGGACTCACACCCGTCTATCTGCGGAACAGGGACCTCCCGCGGAACCTGGGCTTCCCTAATAGCAACTGCCACCCCCCTCCCACTCCTACCCTGGGCTCTTGGCTGGTGTGGCACCCGAAAACCTGGCGGGCAAAGTTCGGTCAGAGGGACACCTCCCTCCGAGCCCCAGCCAGGTGCACACTATTCCCTTTTTTTGCATTAAAATAGCCACAAAAATTTCAATTTAAAAGTTTCACCCTTTTGCATTTAAAAAAAATCACAAAATGTGAGTTAAAAAAACACCTTCCTTTTTTGCATTAAAATAACCACACAAAAAAATCAATTTAAAACAGCTTTCATCCTTTTGCATTAGAAAAAAAAAAATCTTAACACATGGTTCCATCTTTTTGTATTAAAAAAACCCCGCAAAAGATCCAGTTTAAAACACATACACAATTTTTGTCTTTTTGCATTAAAAAAAAAAAATCCACAATTGAAAACACAAATTGATTTCCCCTTTTTTGTTAAACAGCTTAACTCATCTCCTCCCTTGAATCCCATCCATCTTCCCGCCAAGCTGGTCTCCAGGTCTTCCCCATCTCCCTTTTCAGCCTTCCCAATCCCAATGCCATCGCACTACAACTCCCAGCGTCCTCAGCCAGGAGGACTGTTGACCGCATAGCTGGAGATGTTGCAGGTGTATGCTCCTCTACCGATATGTGTGTGTATGTGCATATTCAAGGTGATTTTTTTATTTTTTTTTTTGTGCAACAGACTGACGCAAAATGGGCCTGTGCCTGGAACGCACCTAGTGGAAACCCGGTTTGGTTTCTCCACTAAGCCAAACATGACCAGCATTTGATGAAGGAAGCAAGACAATCATAGCATCTTCCCGATTACTGACGGATTTGTCTCCGCGGTTGATCCATTCCTCTTGGCCGAATTAAAGATGAGATTCCTGTCTATCTCCCAGGCCAAGCAGGATCTGAACCCAGATCTGCTTTGCATCACCCAGCTTCTTGCTCCCGGGTGGTTCCCCAAAAAACTGGCTAAGAAAAGAAACCCCCCCCTCCCCAAGACCCCCAAAGTCAAGGGCTCCCCCAAACAAGGAACTGCCATGACTGGTACCATCTTCTCTCCGAGTTGCTCTAAGGCAGTGTTTCTCAACCTTGGAAGCTTGAAGATGGGTGAACTTCAACTCCCAGAATCCCCCAGCCAGCGCTGCTGGCTGGGGGATTCTGGGAGTTGAAGTCCACCCATCTTCAAGCTACCAAGGTTGAGAAACACTGCTCTAAGAAAAGTCATGAATTGGGGCATTTATGGAGTTCCAGTCTAATCCAGCCACAGGAATAGAGATTCCTTGATTGACAGGGAAAGGAGGGCTCCAGTGGGCCTCCGTGCTGTGCAATCCTCGAGTGGCAGTTTCTACCAGGGGCGTG